TTAAGATGCTTCCCTAACGCACAAGAACTGCATCCATCTAACAATGGCTTGAAACGAAGGTTCGAACCATCGACTCTAGATGGCGCAAATGTAGTCCCTGAAACGTGTCATTTCCTGATACAGCTGGAATTAGTCACCAATACTTTCCACAATGTGCTACATTGTGGAAAGATCCTTCTTCACATAAACCAGAGCGGGAGACACTCGAATGCTTGAATAAATCTGTCATTAGAGGTAACCTAGTCCAAGGAGTTTCCAGGGAACTCTGGCTCGAACTATAGAAGAAGGATGATTCAATTTCCAAGATGACTGCACGGAAAAGGGTTTTAGCAATCAACATCATCGCACAAATTGTACAGGAGTTTTCCCATAGATGAAAGTATAAATGGAGGGGCTCTCCTATGGCGTGAATCACTGCACCCAACCAGGCGTATCTGCCGTCTTCCTGACGTCGCACCAGCAAGGTTTTTTCATAACAGACGCTTTGAGAGGGGCGGACAAAAGAGGCAACATGCCCCAGCCTATATGCCTGGGGACCTCCACATCCGGACTCAATCTATCAGGTTATTCATTCCCAATTGCGGACCGTTCCAAGATGGCGGAGGCACTGGTAACTCTCGAGGCAGCGAAGGAACCTCCTGAGACATCAATATGCACTCCATGGGTATTCCTGACGGGATGTCTGACTCCTGAATATGAGATAGCTCATGAAAAGATAAAAACTTATATTATGAATGTGAATTTTCACACGCTTATACACCAGACCCTCCCAGACAATGTAGGATAGGACCATCAATCCTACCGATCGACAACATTTATGCTCTTAATCCGAGCCACGTGAGCAAGGCGCTACTTAGGCTGAATGCAATTTAAGTGATTAACATAACCTATCCAAATCGTTAATTGCATATAGGATGAATTCTAAACTAAAGGCAGGTAAACCTACTGCAAACCGGAGGAAACGAAATGCTTTCTTGTGAAAGGAATCGCGATGATGTTCAGCGACTACCACCCCAGTAGCACCCGAACATGTTCAATGAACGTTTCATTCAAGTTATTGCCCGCGGTCCATTGCAATCCTTATGAAGTCCTTACAAGTTAAAAATTCAACGCATTGAAAAACAGTTCAATCTGATATTTCCATGGAATGGGTTCAATAAAACTTTATTTTTTTAGGATTCTTCCGATATGCAATACACGTTTTTGATTCGTTCTTTCCATTACTTCAATTGTATTTTTAAAATGTCATGAACGTTCGACGACTGTCCTTCAAATGCAGAAGGTTTTGTGATTAAATGCACCTTAACTGAGCGTCAAAAGGTGCTCATTCCGGCACACTGGATGTACTAAGACCTCTTTGATAACATGTTTAACATCCTCGAGAACGTTTATGTGCTACTTGTACAATGTCATCTGTATAATCCTATCCTATACTTGAATTCGTAGAGGTCAAAAGCTGCAGTGGTGGCCGTGGCTGTCACCCCCAAAGCGCAGGCCTACGATGCAATCCCATTCTGGATCATAGGCCAGGCCATGCACGGCCTGAAGCGCCAGGCCTACAAGGCTGCACCTTTCCAGGCCATCTTCTTATACTTTAATTCGAAGAGCCCGAGAGTTGTGGTGGTGATTATCACCCCAGCGCGCGAGGCCTACAACACTGTCACTTCAGGCCATGGGCTAGGCCATCCAACCCTCAAAGCGCCGGGTCCATGAGCCTATGCTTTTCTAGGCCATAGGCTTGGCCATCCAACGCTTTTAGCGCCAGGTCTATCGAGCTATTAATATATCAGTCTGAGCCATAGGCTTCATTCATTAGCTGTGTCAAAGGGTGGTAATAACTGAATGCGTGTCATGTTTCCACTGATCGACTGCAAGTTCTCCATTTGAATACATTATTTGCTGAAGTGTTTTTTTTTTCTGTATTGATTTACTTTCCGTTAGGTCACGCGTGGCGGTTCGGGACATCGCTTCCATGCAATGGTTTTTTGTTTGCGTTTCATATCATGGTCGATTTATTTGAGTTCTGATTGATGAATTCAAAATAATAACGTAATTTCTTTGTTTCATACGTCGTGCTAACGGGCCGCTCCTCCCATCAACATGGTGGCGATTTTTGCGAGGTGAGGTTGAACGTGAAAAAAAATGCTGAAAGAGGTCCTACAGGACGGCGATGAGACAGTCGCTGCAGATAATAAACGATTGACGCTGGCGCGGAAACAACGTTTGCCACTGCAGTTGCGGTGCAAATTGCCTATATCGGTGCTCTAGGAGGTGCTAAGGCATTACCGATCTTACTGTCTACTTGTCATGGGTCAACGGGCATCCCTCGCATTCCGACTTGTCGTTCTCCGTCGCATACGACTCGAGTCTTTATACTCTCGGTACGTCGGACGTCCTGTTGAACTTGCAAGGAACGCAGCGCTCAGGTGTCGAAAGCCGGGGGGCGGCCGGGAATTGAACCCGAGCCTCTTGCTTGCTGGTCAGATGTGCTATCATTACACCACGGAACTCGGGACATTTTGTCAGACCATGTCATCTCAAATCACTACATTCGTTTGCGTAGCGAGCACTGTCAGGCTGTACATTTTGCTGTAGGGAGGGGACATTTGTTTCACATTGGTGCCACAACAGAAAAATTATTCTGCTGCAACTCACAATTAACGCTTAATCTGTTGTTCACTGGTGTTAATGTGGAGGCGAGGCCTTTCCGGAAATTATTCGTTAGTATTCTGCTGTACATGCGCTATATTCCCTTTGTGTTAAAGTCGAACAAGTTCTTGGAAATAGCCCGTACTGTTTCAGAATTAGTGGTACCTGCACCATAAGCGAATGCTAATAACCCATGAGCTAATCGGTGATGCAAGAGTATTGAATGAGCTGGGGAGAAGTTGTGGTGGTGGTGGCTGTCACCGCAACGCACGAGGTCTACAATATAAGATTATTTTAGGCTATAGGCTAGGCCATCCACCGCTCAAAGCGCCAAGTCTATGATGTTATGCTATTCTATGCCATAGGCTTGGCCATCCAACACCTTTAGCGCCAGGTTCTTCGGGCTATATCAGCATCTCTTCCATGCAATAGTTTTCTCTTTGCGTTTCATGTCATGACCTATTTATTTGAGTTCTCTCGATTGATAAAGTCAACTTAATCACGCAAGTTCTTTGTTTCAAATGTCGCGCAAGCGGCCCGCTCATACCATGAAAATGGTGGCGATTTTTGTGAGATGATGCTGAACGCAAAGAAAAAATGTTGGAGGTCCATAGGACGGCGATGAGGCAGCCGCTACAGATAAAAAACGATTGGTGCTGGCGCGGAAACAACCTTTGCCACTGCAATGTGCCTAAGTCGGTGCTTTCGGAGATGCCAGCCGAAATGGCTAGAATGAACAGCACGCAGCTGCACGTAGGGACGCTTAGACCGCTGAACAGCAAGGGGCAGCGAATGCTGAGCTCTAGAATAGGAGAGCCATGGAGCCTGCTGAGCAACTTGAGGTAAGGAATGCAGCATTCAGGTGTCGAAAGCCGGGGGGCGGTCGAGAATTGAACCCGGACCTCCTGCTTTGCCGTTCAGGTGTGTTACACCTTACACCACGGAACTCGGGACATTTTGTCAGGCCTCTCCATGTCATCTCAATAATTACAGTCGCTTGCCGCAACACTGTCAGGCTATACATTTTCCTGTAGGGAGGGTGCAGTTGTTTCATATTGCTGCCACAACGGAAAAGTGCTCCTGCAACAACTCACACTTTACCCTGAGGCGCTGAAGTGTTGCTCACTGGTGCTAATGTGGGGGCGAGGCATTTTCAAGAATTATTCGTTAGTATTCTGCTGCACATGCGCTAAATTCCCTCTGAGCTAAAGTCGAACAAGTTCTTGGAAATGGCCCGTACTGTTTCAGAATCAGTGGTATCTGCACCATAAGCTAATGCTAATAGCCCTTGAGCTAATCGGTGATGCAAGAGTATTGAATATGCTAGGGAGACGAAATCCGCAATGTCGTCTTACGTCTTATGAAAACGTGCTAAACCTTTCACAATGAACGATTGTGGCAATCGGCTGGAATATCATGATGATGGTGTTTAGGAACAGAATCTTCCTGTGTCCTGTAAGCTATATGTGTATAAATGTAGGTTCCGTTCCGAATGGGTAATGCGATGAACAGAGGATCGTCAAGGAGACGTTATGCTCACAATAGACGATTCAAATTCCCACCTATTAGACGGCCAGCGTAGCGGCCGCAGGCCGCTAGTGGCCCTTTAAATGGCGAATGGTAAATGACCTCGAGATCGCAGCGATTCACTTCCGCAAGCATTGCAGAGAAGCTAGAGACTTAAAATTCGGAACCGGGCACGAATTTCGACTCGAGCATCCAAAAGTCGATGGAATTCACACTTGTGCGATCTTCACCCAGCCTACTGGTAACCGTCAGGTTAAATGTCTCTCCCCCCCCCCCTTATGATCAAATCGAAACACCCACCCAACTGGAAGTTGAGCATGAAATCAGGCTCGGACACCCTGAGCATGGCGTGGCCCTCGTGCCTCTTCATCGCCTCGCATCCGAGGCAGTGGCAGTAAGCGGTCGTCGAGCACTGGAGGCAGACGTACCTCGGCCTCCCCCGGATCATGCTGCCGCAGCCGTAGCAGAAGAAAACCCTCGTCGCTGCCGTCGCTCTCGTATCTGGAAGCAAAAAAAATGTTCTTTTCGCTCTTTGTTCGTCTGGATGGAAAATCGGGGCACCAAGCGCGTTCGGGCGTCTTAACGAATGCTGGGACTCTCGTCTCGATGGAAATCTTTCAAACGTGCGAATATCTGAAGGTGCAGGAGTGGATTGCATAGAAGGAACAAGAGTTCGGATTTAATCTGAACTGAGGATTTCTGTTTATTAACTCCTTGAAATTTATTGTACCAGGAAAAGGTTTCTTCCAGTCTCGAGCTGAACTTCATGACATGTGATAGTCTCGATGGGACACAAGAAATGCAATAATCTAAAGCGACTGCACCTAGAAATTACGACGATCACGCTTCGTGCCCAGCAAGACAGAGACAGAAGCCATCTGACCGTTCGGAGCACCGGGAGTCCGATCCTCGCTCGTCATGGCAGCCGAATCAGCGTCGCGACAGGGTGGGAGAGGGAGCCGGTGGGGTGGGAGAGGGAGCCGGTGGGGTGGGAGAGAGAGCCGGTGGGGTGGGAGAGGGAGCCGGGGGGGTGGGAGAGGGAGCCGGTGGGGTGGGAGAGAGAGCCGGGGAGGTGGGAGAGGGAGCCGGGGAGGTGGGAGAGGGAGCCGGGGAGGTGGAGGGGGTCCGCTCGCTCCGTGACCCTGCAGTTCTTTCTCCATCACTGCCCTCAATCCGGGAGGAATCCGAAGGAAGTTGCTGACGACGAAGCCCTGGATGGGATCCCAGCCGACGTGCGAGACGTGCTGGAAGTCGGTGGGCACCCCGATCGCTTCCATTCGGACTTGCTCTGGGGGCGAGGCAGGGGAGAAAGCCGGATGAACTCCTTTCTCCCCTATCCCACCCACTTAGTTGAATCGATATTTCTTTTCTCTACCGTTTCGGCACGGTGAGATTCGAAAATGGTATGGGCGTATTGTTAGCGTAGGCGTTATATGTCATTTCATGTTCCTTTTCTTTCCCGCAGTTTTTGACGTTCGGTTCCTGTCCTACATCACTCAAGTTTAGCATGGCCAATTGGATCCAGCATGACAGAACTTTGAAAAACTATTTCAGTCGTAATGCGATAAGCAAGATAATCGGTTCATGATTTTATCATGAAATACATTCTTTGCGATACCAATGTAAACGGTCTGTATCAAACGGTCTGTATGTAACGATGATCCCACTGGTTACCGAGGTTACCGTGGTTGCCGAGGTTGCCGAGCTCCCTTCGCGGCATTGTAGGCCGTTGCAGTTCGAATTCAGACTGGGTTTGCGCAAGCTCCTCTCCATGGTGATTTTTTTTCCTCCTGTCTATCGGGAAATGATGGAGCTTCAGGCGAGGCCATCAAACGACAACCAGTTCTTGAAAAGTACCAGCGCGAGACTGCACAGCCTGGAACTCGCGTCGACTCACGTCTCGACGGCATCCTGACCACGCGGTGATCGAGATGCTTGGAAGCGGCCTCGCATCTCGCGCAGAGGTCCCAATCCTGGCACTTGAGGCACTTGTAGCGGTGTCCGGCGATGTTCCCTCCGCATTCGTCGCAACTCGCTCCGTGGTGAAGACCTCGATAGAAAACGGCGTAACGTCAGGACTATGGAAATGGACGTCTTCGAACGTCGTAATCAGATGGGAGTCGAAACAGCCTTTCGTTGTCCTAATTTAATTTGTTTTTATTGATTGATATAAGGAATGCATTTATTGATACAAAAGTAGTAACAGTTTTTCTGGGGAGAAATAATTTTTTTTTGTGGATATTTTGATTAAGTCAAATTACATGTAATATGATATAATATTTACAGATACCATCTGGGAGGACGGTCGTGGCTTTAAAAGCGACGGAGCCCGGCCTGGCGAAGCGAATCATGGGATGATGGAAGTGCGGCTCCCCCGACTGCTCGCAGTCGCTGCAGAGGTCGAAGTCGGGACACGCGAGGCACTTGAAGCGTCTTCCGCGCACTCGTTTGCTGCAGGAATCGCACTTCACTCCAGGGTGTTTTTCGCCTGTGGTGCACGTTAGCATGGAATAGTTTCGGCCATGAGTGCTTATATTAACATTCACTCAGAGTGATTTGATAGCGTGAGATAGGCAAGGCCGGATTGGGGGGGGGGGGCCCGAAGGAAATTAAAAACCTTAAATATTTGCGCAAAGTAACGGGGGGGGGGGTTTAGCCTCGAGAATCCACTTGCCCCGGGTCTCGCAACTTCTTAATCCAGCCCTGGAGATAGCATATCCGAAGAAAGCAGTACACAAATTACCCGTGAAATACTGCGCTTAATAAAAATCTGACAATAGAAAATGTGCCTGAAACACAGTGCCCCTTGTTTCGTGACTCGCTGCATGAAATTAGTTCTAAACCATGGGACTAGGAGACGACGTACTGATTATGCCATCCAGGTCAGGCGTAAGAGGGACGACCGGCATGCGAGAAGGGAGTCTGATGAGGAGGTGATGCGAGTGCTTGGTCCCGCTGGCCTCGCACGTGGCGCAGAGGTCGAAGTCCCGGCATTGGAGGCATTTGTAGCGACTTCCTCGCACCGGGCCGTGGCAGGAGGCGCACTGCACGTTCGTGTGAACGTCTCCTGTCAGGGACGCCCGGGGCCGTGTGTTATGCTATGTTTTATCGCATTTTCGCTCCCTTTTTTTGCAGACTGCTAAATCGGAATTATCCTGGATTTCACTGTACCCTTGAAGGAGTAAGAACAAGATTTGCTTTAAATTGAATTCAATGGTATTGAGAACCATATGTACGAAGCCTTCCAGTGCAGAAAAATAATCTATAAACCCATCCTGAAGATCAAGTCACATTGAAACGTAAGAATCACTAACGAGGCCCAATCCAAAAGTTTACTGTGATGCGCACTCGCTGACAAGCGATTATCACTCCTACAATTATCACTGACAATTATCGCTGACAATTATCACTCCTACCTCACGTTTTGACTCGTAAGACTACTCAATATACAGCTGGAAAGTTCATCAAATGAGTTCAAAGTAGGAAAATAGCTTTTCAGTTGGGCCAGCACTAAGAACTCCATTCGAACCCGAGTGAAAGTGAAAGTTGAAAGTGAATCTGCACATCATTCCTGAAGACATTTTTCTCGGTTGATAAACTCTTGGTTTTATCAGTACTAGTCCAGCATGTTTGCTCCAGCAAAGGCGCTCTGACGTCCTGAAGGTTGTCGCCATTGGTTGCCGGTTGGTTTCCATCCTTTGGTTTTTAACCTAGGATTATCGTTAATACACTAATTACACACACATTACGTCAATTACGTACTTTTAGACCTACAAAAGTCGAGACTGTTACGTATAGTACTTGGTGGGAGGAAGAAAGTGCACTAATTTGTCAATTCGTTCGCGAACGTGGACGTCGATCGCTGAGGTAGGAATTTGCAAGGGTTATATGGCAAGGTCAGATGCTTTGAGGCTTGCCCGAGGGCTAGGGTGCCGTCTCTTGCGTGTCTTTTTTGCCGCTCTTCGAGCCGAAGAACGAATAAACTCGCCATGGGACTGAATCGGGAGCGTTTTTGTATATATCCTAATGTATCCTCTTCGGGAAAGAAAAACTCCTACCCACGACGTCATGGGACAATCGACTCATGGAGTCGGCGACTCGAAGAACGTTGTGGCCGGTGTGGAGGACGCCGTCCGCCTCGCACGTGGAGCAGATCATGTAATCGAGGCACTCGATGCACTTGTAGCAGACACCGGCGATCGTCTCTCCGCAGCCGCTGCATTCACCGGCTGCGTTAGGAATGGATGGAAGATTACTTTGGATGATTATCGGGTTTGGTGCAATGATGTATGACGATGTAACGAGACTACCTCCGACTTCGGAGCTGGTCGACCGCTCGGCTGAAGCAAGCAAGATTGTGTTTGACGTCGAAGCCATCACCCCTGGCCTCGTCTTGCTGATCTCAGCTCTGAGACATGAGCATGAAAGGGACATGAGCATGAAAGGGACATGAGCAGGAAAGGGACATGAGCATGAAAATGAGTCGCGACGAAGCTTAATACATTTTAGAGATGCAAACGAGACAAAAGTGACCAATTTTGCCCGTTGAAACTGCCCGACGTTGCAACTTCCAAAAGATTCGCCGAGCGCCCGAGTAAAAAGCCTGACTCACCGAATCGGTCGAGGTGGAATCGAGACGGAGACGAAAAGCAAATGAGAGAAGCCGGAGGGAAGTCGATGGGAAAGTCCCAGGGGCGAGCCAAGCCCTGCAAAGCTGATGAGCTGATTCTCTGTCTTCATTAAGAAAAAACCTGGCGGTACAGCATGGCAGCAGGAATGTTCTCGAAAGTGGGAAGGAGGGGGGAAGGAGGGGGGAAGGAGGGGGGAAGGAGGCGGGAAGGAGGGGGGAGGAGGGGGGAAGGGTTCCATAAATCCATATGTTAAAAGTCCGTACGTCAGTGATATGCGTATGCATTCAACTGGAAATGATAAGGTAATAGCAGGTAATCTTTTTGCTCGGAAAGGAGGAGGGGATGGGGGATTTACCACCTCTGCTTCCTCGTTTCCTCTGAAATTGCGATCCACCGATATATGGCGCTCGACGAGTTGTTCCGATGTCGTTCAAGGAGGAGTGTCCATGCTGCGTGCAAATTGAATTTTTGACGAAAAAAATTCTATTGAGGAAAAGGTTTGAGGTTTTTTTTTTGTCGTTGATAGCGGGCGGCCTTGGAGGGACGAGAGGGATGGGCCAAGGCTAATAGAAAGCGTAAGTTGGCCCTCTGACCTGTGCAGGAACGCTTTTTTCCGGGTGGAATTCCCCGGATCGAAGGGCATCGCGTGCTCGAGGAGCGACAGACCTCGTCGGTGGATGTGGCGAAAAGCGAAAGTCGCGATAGAGGTTTGCTCACGTCCGGCTTCATTGAGGGTAGAAGGTGTGAGGTCGACATCCAGTCGACATCCAGTCCGGGGAGAAAGCCGGAAGTGGAATTCACGCTTTCATGGGGTCGCGGTGCTTCTATTGAAAACCTTTTCGCTTTTCGTTCCTCTCTTCCCCCCTTCGCCCTCGCCTCATCCCCTCCATCCAGGAACGATGAAGGCCCCGACGAGCATCGACGCATGAGGGAGGGGGGGGGGGGGGGGGGAGGTGTAGGGGGGGGGGGGTAGGTCAAGGCGATCGAGGCCGCACCCCCGCAGCTTGGAGACACTCACTCCACTCGTCGGACCCCCCACCTCGTCATCCATTGAATTGCCCGGATGCTGAGCCCTTCCCCGTTCTTAACGAGCACGTCACCACTTGCAGCCAATGCGCGCCTGCGAGGGCATTCGTGCTATTGCATTGTAACTGTAATTTACATACATTTGATGAAAGCAAATCAACGTCAACCATGTTCTACAACAGCAGTAACCGCAGTACAACTCCAACAGAGAAACAAGAATTTCCTGTCAGGAAATTGTGTCCGAAGCTGATGGTGTGGCAGGCTCTCAGCATGCGTGGGCGGACTCCAGTTTACGTGGTTCCCTCTGGCAATGAACAAGGAGCCGTACTTCAAGGAATGCACTAAGAAGCGTCTCATCCCCTTTCTCAACAAGAAGAATCCCAATGGGGATGCCATCTTCTGGCCGGACAAACCAAGCGCCCCACCATGCCAACACCGTTACGCAGCATCTTCGAACCCGGGAATAAAGATCGTGGAAAAAGAAGATAATCCCCCTAATCTCCAACAAGACCAGTTGAGCGCGATTGGGCAGAAATCGACCGACGGCTAGCCCTCTTCAAAATCCCTGCTGAAAATTTTGGTGCATCATCTCTCCGAGTAGAGAAACAGTGGCAGGACAAACTGAAACGCCGTCTGCAAAGGACTTTCCAGCTTTGAAGACGGTTCGCTCATTTTTCCAGATTTTCTTTCTTTCTGCTAATTTTGAAAGAATTACTTCTCAACCCAGGCAAGGCGTTTGGGGGCTCCCAGTATAAAATTTCTAAAATGCACCTGTCGCGAATCGCGGTTTACATGTTAGCAAAGAAAGTCGGCAATTAAAATTGCCAGCTTCTCCCTTTTGTGTCTCCTGTCGCCATAACAGCTTTACGGCTCATGCCGTTACGCAATCTTCTGGTCGCTTTGCCTCTCAACAGTTGAGATTTACCGTTCCCAGGGCAGTTTTCTATCCTGCAAATATTTTAACTCATCCATCGGCCATTCACATGGACGCTCGAACAGCCACGAAAAGCACAAAATTTGAAATGACAAATTTCCCTTTTGATAGCCATCAGGAAATCCGGCACCCCATTCCTTCCAAGGCAATTTTTCATCTTGCGCTTAACTTTGTCGACAGGCAAGTGCCTTGCGCTGCACGTACTAAGATCGACATAGTGGCAGTGATGGTGGACGATCACCTCTACGTGGTAACACCTACCTCTGCTTGGTAATATACTACGCCAAAAGAAACATGAAAATTATTTACGGAAAAGATAAATTTCCCCGAAATCCTGAGCCCCATTCGAGGCAGCGCAACAAATTTCTCTCCTCTGAATTCGCGTCCTCGCAAGAACGAAAACGAGACCGAGACATAAGGAATGTGCGACACGGAAGACGAGAAGGACCAGACTGCCTCGGAGCGAGGGATCTGCGAGGGCGGAAGACTTCTGCTTTCCTTGCCTCCGTCGCCGTTTTATTTTGTTTTTTGGGGGGGGCTTTCCATAGATCTGAAACGTGACGTCAGAGCTTCAGCATCTCCCTTCAAGCAGACGAGAAAAAGTACTAATATTGCTCTCATCTTTAATACAAGAAGTGACAGGCTAACCACCTCAAATTTGCCTCGGTAATCTTTTCCTCATTCAGGTGACCTGATGATTATCGAAGACGATGGGACTTAGAAATAAGAGCCAAATTTGAAAAAAAAATCTCGATGTTTGTTATCAGATAGTTTTCGTGTTCTCTGTGACGCGAACGGATGGATTTCGAAATGAGACTACAACACGAGTTCCCGTATATATTTTCGCTATTTCTCGAAGAATCGGCTGTCAACGCCAGAGAGAGAGAGAATATAAAACATATTTCACACCTTGAAGAATCGAATCCGGTTCGCGATGGCCTTCCGGCAAACGGGGCAATGCGAAACCTTCTCGGCGCAAGGGAGGCAGGCGACCATGTGGCCGCACTCGGCGAACACGCAGCTCAACTCCGCCTCCAGGCACAGCTTGCATAGGTTTTCGTCGTCTGAAAATGACCAAGAAGACATATTTTGCTTTTATTTCCTCCTTTTTCCTCCTTGCGATGCTTGGGAATCCAGCAAGTTTAAACAATGAAGCAAGTTGAAGTACGCAAAAGCATTTTCTTCGGCAGATACGGCAGTCGACGACGGTAGCAATATCAATTAAAAAATTAAAAATATAAACATTAAAGGTTCCCCTTGCAAAATTCCATCCCCAGGTGGAATGGGAATCAGGTGGCTGTCCCTTTAGGCGGTAAATCCACCTGCTGGAGGAATATCCCCCTGGTTCAAAGTCCACCCAGATGGACTCCAAGCTCAAAGTATGAGATGAATAAGGCAGGCGGATACGGAATACGGCATTTTGGAAAAAAAAAAATAGGCCTGTCGATTAAGCATTTCCAATTCTTGACGGTTGGCCTCAGACCTGATCGAAAACGACCTGATCTGGACGATCAGGTCGTTTTCTTTCCTCTTGCAACAAAGGCAGAATCGGTCGAGATCAATCCCTTCTGGCATCAGTTGCACCAAATTTTTGTGCGGCCGGTTCGGAGCAAGAACCATTCTGAAGGGGCATAATTCGGATTAAGATGGCATCTACTTTTGAGTACTTTTGGTACTTTTGAGGTCTATTTCGGGGTTCGTCCCAATACGAAAACGGAAAGTGAAGTTGGAAGTCGTTTCCTCCACGGTGCCTCCCCCGACGATTTCATCAGTAAAATCTTTACTTCTTTTCACGTGACTTCTGGAAGTCTCCTTGATTATTCTGACCTACCTATTTTTTTGCACAAAATCATCGTTGCCGAAATGGATGGCGGACACATTGAACATTACATGCAAATACAAATAAATTGCAATCGTTCCTCAACAAGTTTCCCTCCGAATTTCCAGCTTCATTTCAAACATTGTCCTTATTTTTGAGGCGAATTGCCTGGGAAATCCGGAATCAGCCTGACCGACCTTTAGTGCATATAGTCAAATGCCACTTCAATGTGATGCTTTGGAACGTTGCTCACCGTCTTTGGGCTTTCCCGTGGTCCCGCAGGCGAGGGTCGCCGTGTTCTGGGATCCGCGCGGCCCTCCAAGGATTCCCCCGGAGGGGGAACCCACGGCCAGCGGAGGCTGGCATCTACCGGACGGAGACGGAGGAGACAGAGGCCGTCCGGCGGCGTGGCGCCGTCTGCGTCTCGAAGGCTTCTGAAGACGTCAAGAGCAAGAAATGCGTCGTTATGTGAGATCGGGCCTGATGCAGTTGCCATGGAGATCGTGCGTTAGTTCTATTTCGAGAATTGTTAGTTTCTATTCATATTTCGCATAATCCCTAGCGATACTTGAGAATTCAAAATCCTCGAGTGACTCTTCGCGTCTTCCCAACGACTACACCAGCGGAACTGACGGCCGGTATGGATTAATGAAAGGAGTATAACGTAGTGACCTTCGAGAGGTATGCAGACACATGGTATATTTTATGCTAGTGACAGGTTAATTTCAAAATCAGTCGATGGCGAAAAAGTACGAACCAATTTCGATACAAATTAGAAACAAATGTGAGCAGCGTATCTCGGGCAGCAAGTATGAACGAAGGTGATTTCGATTCTTTCAAGAAAATACAGGGCGATCCTAAGAAAACGGCGAGGCACCCCAAACCCAAAAAACGCCGGCCAACAGCAAACAAATTACGCGCCAGCGTCACAAAACCGGCAACGGGCGTGAAGCGCATACGCGGGAGAACGGGAGGCGCATCATCGGATGGCGGATGTGATTCTGTCTGGCAGCGCATAAAAAGCAGAGGTTGGAGTCCGGGCACACCAGACATTTGTATCGGGCTCCTTGTTTTTGAGCACCTCCGCACACTCCACACGTCCACTTGGCATCTTAAAAAAAAAAAGAAACTAGTGCTTAAAGACATTGGAGACGAGGTGCATTTAAAAACTCCGAGTTCTTAAAAGCGGATTGCCTGATCTGTGCAACATGGAATACAGATTAAGGAAATAGGAAAGGAAACACGAAAAAGAACGAGAAGGAAAAAAAAAAACCTCTTATCCTGTCAAGCCGATGCCAGGGAATATGAGGAAATACTTAGTAAAGCATTTAAGCAGATCGAGAAGGGAGGGATATTCAAACCCGTCCTCTGAGGCATTTAGCCTCGGCCGGTTGTATGCACTCTTGGCAACAGTAGGGTTATCGTTCCATTCATCGTTGTTGACCTATAGGATACCTATAATCGTCAGTTAATCTCGCTCCAAAACGTATACGAAAGCTTTGAGTTGACACACAGACGTATTGAGCGCAAAATAACTATATGAGGAGTCTTGCAAAATGTCCACCTCCATCCATGGGAGCTGAATATGACAGGGGGGAGGAGGAAAATTATGAACAGGTGGACGAGGATAATTATGAACAGGTGGACATCCTTCTATCAAGTGCATTTCCGCCTAGAGGGGCATCCACCCAGTCAGAAATCCACCGTTCGACGTTTTTCAATGGGAACCTCCTTTCCGAACGATGAGGCTGGCTGCAACGAAGGTGTTCAACGTCCAGGATGAGATGAGTGAATAACTAAGCAAGTCTCGTCTCGATTTTTTTCCCTCACCCACATTTTTCATCAGTCAGCATGACACTCACTATTGTCACATGAAGGTTTTGTTACTTTTTGTATCACGACAGCGGCCTTGACATTTAGCTAGGAAGAAGTGAAGCTCTCATTGAACCGCCCTTTGGGGTACTGTACATGCTCAGGAAATCCGAAACGGAAAGATAAAAACATTTCCATGATAGTTTCCTAATACCTCCAGCGATGGCGCACTCTCGAGTACCATATACCCAGCAGGAAATAACTTATCGACCATTAATACAATCCGCAGTCCAAAGGCACGGAGAAAACAACTGACCTACGAAAGACGATAAGGTTCTTTCAATCTGATAATCAACTCACATCTTTGACGGACGTACGTCGGAAATCGAAGTAGGCGGTGTTCAAGGTGCGTCTTGTCATTTCCTTCGCATTTCCCACACAGATTTACCGTTTGACAGCTCACGCACTCGTACCGGAATCCGACGATGGGACACTTGCACCCTGTGCAAAGCACCCTGTCGCGCACTAAGGCTGCAAAGTAACGACCCCTTGCACACTCGAAATGTCATGGACGGAATGATGAAAGATGGAGGAATGGAAGGATGACCGAGCACTCACGCGCTGATGAAGGCTGATTCATTTCCGCGGCCGTGGAATTCGTCCGAGAGGACAGTCTAAGCATGGGGTGGATGCCGTGGACCTTCCTCTCCTCGCAGGCAGGGCAGAGGTGGAAATCGGGGCAGGTGAGGCATCTGTAACGGAGGTCCGAGATGGCGTTTCCGCACTCGTCGCATGTCAAACCTGCAATCGCCATACGAAAAGGATGGAAGTCGATTTCGTCTTGGGCAGGTCAGGTATTCATCGCCGTTCAGTGAATTCGAGAAATGTTAACACATGTTAAGAATTTCCTATTACTAACTTTGATCGCTTTTCCCAAGCCCTTGTGACAGACAGTTATAACGTCACAAGATGGAACATGTTATTAGGGTACAATGAAATTAATTTTAATTTCATCCCATTCATGTCATTTCATTCCACGACAAGGAAAGTTACGGCAGTTTTACGGTAATTTTACGGTTTCAGGATAAACTTGATTCCATGAGCTTTACCAATTATTAGCAGTAGAGAAATAGGCACTGCACGCACATCACCAAGAGTCTATTAAGTGGAAATGAGGTAGATTTGGAACCAGGTGGATGTCTCCCCATAGGCCACCTGCTGAAGAGATTTCACCTGGTCAAAAATTCACCCGGGGAAGAACATCCACCTGGTTCGAGAACCACGCGCGCGACCAGGAGGATTTCCACTGCGTGGCACCTGGCACGTGGCACCTGGCTCCAGATCCACCTCCTATCCAATTCATCTTTCAGCCAGGTGGATGCGGGTGCACGTTTTGTAAGAGAAAAGTCAGAAAATATGAGAATGAAGGTAACGAGATCTGAGAAATGGGATATAGCGCATTGAGTGCCTGCGACCCAACCCGGCAAACAATTTGAAACACATAACGTTGAATCAGCAATGACTGAACGTTCGGGACGTTCATACAACGTAGGTCCAACGTAGGTCCAACGTAGCCTTGTTTGCTGTGAATATTGTAGAATTTTGGGCCAATATTGATCCAAAAATCGGAGGCACTGGAGGTAGCTGCCCTGCTGCTGAACTTGCTGCAATATAGACATTTTTGCTATTGTGCCTCTTGCATTCAGTCGAAAAGATCTGACAACGTTCTGTATACGTTACGCTTCGGTTAATCCGTTGCACATCTCTGCCCAGATCTTGTGAATGAGAGAGGAGCTTTCTCCGCAATGCCTTATCGTCGTTCTTCATTATATTTCCTCTATTATTTTCCAGTTTTCCCTATTAAGCATCTCCCGAAATGAACTTGGCATCAAGTATTCCATTGTGATACACGCCTAGTCAACGATTTTGCACAAATCAATATTGAGACCTTCGAGTTCGAGCATTCGTCCTCATCTGCACTCTGACATACCAACCAACTTGTCCAAATTGTTGAAAACAGCCCGCGTTGCACTGAGCTTACAGAGCTGTCTTTTGAGGCCTGCTCTGTAAGCACTTCTCAACGGAACGACTTGAAAATCGGAAAACCGGCAATCACAGAGATTACATATTGATCTAAATGCCTGAGCAGCGAGAAGTGCACTGTGCTTGTAGAATTAAAAATGTACAAATGATTCTCATTACTTTCCGGACACCCGAAGTATATACCCTAAATATTTGAATATGAATATGTTTAAGCAAAAGCATACCCAGTACATATTTGATGGCAAAAGCGGGCTCGGGCACCCGGAGCATGGTGTGTTCCTTGTGCGTCTTCCTCGCCTCGCATTGGGGGCAATGGCCGTAGGATGGACACTGGAGGCAGACGTACCTCGGCTTCCCGAGGCATGTCTCACCGCAGGGGCAGAGATAGGGAGCTCTCCCCGCTGCTGTCATTCTCGGAGCGGAATCTGCGAGAAAGGGATGTAGTCTTCGTTGTTCGGTCGCTTGGGTGATAATGACGCGCGTGGCGTTGCGCTAGCGGGGGAAAGTCGTTCCTGTAGACGACCGTTGTCTGGGGATGTACTCTCGAGGGCAATGGTCTTTGGCAATGATCTACAGGGTGATTGAAAAGTAACTCCTTATTTTTAAACGGAAATAATTCATGTTGTAGGAAGAGAAACATTGTTCTAACGGCATTTTAAAGATAATTTAATGTCATTTTATACCACATGGATTAAAACTCCACATGAGCACCATCATTTTCAAGTTTTTCTTAAGCGAATGCTTCCATCGTCGCAACATTTTCTTCAACTCATGATGTCGATAGTCTTCCACTGTTTTGAATCAACCACCGAACCGGCTGAAAATGTTGCGACAGTGGCCGATGCCGTTAGAACGATGCTTTCATCTTTCCTACAACATGAATTATGTCCTTTTAAGAATAGGGAGTTACTTTCCAATCACCCTTTACAGTGCGAGTAAATCTGACCCGAGTATGCTTGAATGTGAAAAGCCGTCCTTAAAGTATTCAAGAACATCGAAAGGCGGAACTGCTTTCCCAAAAGAAATCTTCGTAATTACTGGAGATTTCTTCGGTCAAATGAAGGGTGCAATTATTGGACTGCTCAATTGCCCCCACGCGCGGTGAGCACGCATGTTTCCTTGCTAAAGTTGAGTTAGATCGTCTTGAATTTGATTCAAAATTTGAAACGGCAAAGCAGATATGTAAAATCTGAACTCATCGGAACTAACAGATATTAGTACCAGAATTGGATGGGAAATACCAGAATTTGATGGTGAGTATCTGAACCCACCGCTTCCAAGGCGTATCAGCCTCGCCTAATCAAAGAATTAACATTGATCCTCCCCTAACGCCAAGGCATAGCACGTCTGTACCAATCGGAGGAGAACCTCCGAGAAAATAAATTTGAAAGTTCTTACCCTCTTGAGAAGGGGTGAGCTGGTCGGAAGGAACTGGGACTTGGCTCTCACCTAAAGAGAGAACACCGGACGATCAGCATCATTAAAGGAAAGTCGTGTCGTGGGTCGGCCCTGCAAAAGTAGTCTCTCCTGCATTAGCAGTGGTTTTTGGCGTAAGGTTTCAGGGGATAAACTTCTGCACTGCAAGTGAAAATTTTCAGAACATTTTTTCACGGATGTTTCAAGCAACGACTTAGCTGATGGTCTTTGCGCTAGGTGAGGATTATAAACTCAGCAAAAAACTTATATCAAATCAGGATGAATATATGAATCTTCTGAGAATTAAATCGAATACAGCATGAATAACCAATTACCATAGTAGCATATAACATATTCAACGTTGGTTCAACGCCTAGATGTTGAATCAACATTGAATAAATGTGGATTCTAAGTTATATGCTACTATGGTATAAAAAAAAAATTTTTGGAAATCACTCGCACTCCAAAGAAACGGACATACGAAACTCTTCAGCAACATAGCGTGAACCGCCTTTAACGACATTACATAAATGGATGGTTCAGAAAACATCAACGTTGACAGGCAAGTCTAACTCATTTCATGGACTAGGAGGAATTCGATTGGAGCCATGACATGCACGCGTTATTTACTTGGTACAGAACGATCATTCCTTATTGTAGTCTTTGTGAAAATTTTCCGCATTTTGGTCCAGAATTGAAAAACTTGAGGCATCTATTGCTCTCACGATATGCAAGCTACGTGGGAGTTTTTGGATGATATGAATCACTACCATTTATGTACCATGCTCCAAACGATCAAGCAACAGTTTTCTTCATCTTTATTTCATTAATTTTTCTTCACTTCTTTCTTTCTTTCTTTCTGCTTTCTTCGCTTCCTGCCATGTAGGTAGCTTTCATGCTACTGCTGGTAAGTTGAGTGCGGAAAAGATTACTTACATTTGGGAGGCATCCTGAGCATGCGGTGTTGAAGATGCTTAGAAGCGGCTTCGCATCTCGTGCAGAGGTCGTAGTCCCGACACTTGAGGCACTTGTAGCGGTATCCCCTGATTCTCCCTTCGCATTCCGTGCAGGTTACACCGTGGTGCAGGCCTCAAATGATAGGAAATATATTGGTGTAACATTTGGAAAACGTGCAACAGCAAAAATTTACTCTTCAATTGCCACCACTCACTTCAAAAAATGTCAATGTGAATCAAGAAATTGCTCAAATTTTCCCAATCTGTATATCTTTACATTTAGCTGGCTTTGTCGGGTGGCCTTCATGAGGACATAAATACAGGGTGGGGCAAAGGTAACTATACAGTCCTTATATACTGAAAACAGCCGTTTTGCTAACTTTGCCCTCTTTGTTTCAGAGTAATACTGTTGGATGAAGCTGGTAGATTTCGAAATTACTTCGCACGAACATTTTCCCGTGTTACTTGAGTTTTGCTGTAAACAACGGTCAACATGGTGCTAGAATTTAAACCATCTTCAATATTCAACAACTGTATAGTGACTTTTGCCCCGCTCTATATATAAGGATACCATCTGCGAGGATGACCGAGCGCCTCAGAACAATGGCACTGGGCTTGGAAAAGCGAATCATGGGGTGGTGTGAGTGCTGCTCTTCCAACTGCTCGCAGTCGCTGCAGAGGTTGAATTCAGGACACACGAGGCACTTGAACCTCCTACCTCTCACTCCTTGGTGACAAGAATCACACATAACTCCTGGATGTTCTTCGGCTAGAGGGCAATGGGAAATCCAGTGTGATGATTGCCGTTCTCCGCTTCCTTCTCAATAATATTCGTGAACGCATGCGAAGCAAAGTGTTAGCAACATGTCTGATAACTTATTAGAAGACGACGGGTTGCAATAACAAAGACTTTCTTTGGGTCAGAGGCGATGGCATTACGAGACCAATGAAAACTTTAAGAGACAAATTCCCCATTAACCGCAGTTAATGATTTCATAATTCAAGTTGGCTTAGAAGACAGAATGCAACAAAAATGTTGACTTGCTAAAGACTCGCCTGTCGTGGCATCCAGGTCAGGCGTGAGATGGACGACGGGTATGCGAGATGGAAGTCTTATGAAGAGGTGATCCGAATGCTCCGTCCCCCTGGTCTTGCAAGTGTGGCAGAGATCGATTTCTGGGCATTGCAGGCACTTGTAGCGACTTCCTCTTATTGGGCCATGGCAAGTGGCGCACTCCACATTCTGGTGAACGTCCCCTATAACATCAACGCAAATCCATGATCGTCATATTGAAGGCCCTTCATTTCCTGGTTATTAAGCATTTCTCCATGTTCGCTTGCAATGGTGAGAATCAACACACGGTTTCCAAGTATTGGTTTCACTCCTAGTTCATACCCATCTCCCAGTGACCTGTCTGAGAATCGAATAATTGCAACTATACTCCCTTGATTTCGAAACGTAATTAGTTAATCCCCCCTTTTTATATTTCTGTCTTCTGTTGAATGCAGGCTCAATTTTTTTCATTTTAACTTGCTCTGGGGCATTTTGCCTCTTTACTTAAGGTGAATCCAATGTGAATTTTTTACATGAACGTTGCTTCTAGGGCTGTACCGATGTTTCAGCAACCGCCGGTATGGCACCATCGGCAGGTTTGCTATCTGCCGGTGCCGATGTCCAAAGACGACCACGTAGAACGAATAAAAAGAGAAAAAGAATTACGTGAACGGGGTTCGACAACCGATTCTCAACAGCAAGAAGCAAAAAATTGGACTGTCCTGATGCATTCATCGATGAGTGGATGTCATCTTCGATAGAGGCATGGTAGGTGTCATTACTCGTTACTTTCCTCGTGCACCCCCTGACCACAAGCGTGAGATTATGGAAGAAGTCCGCGCCTCGATCGAGGCAAGAAACTCTTTAAATCAAACCTCCTCCCGATCGCGGCGAGAAAAGATTGAATCCTCCGACCCCCTCCCCCCATGCATCGATACACTATCAATAGTTCGGGTCGATACATCGATGTTTTGAAAACTGCTATCGTGACAGCCCTATTCAAGATAGCAAAAGATGCTAACAAGTTACCTTCGATTTTGGAGCAAACACTAATCCCTTATCTATAAATTTTAAGCCAACTTTAGTTGGCTTAAAATGTATAGATCTCTTACTGGTCTCTTTCTTTAAAGAAATATGCTCATCCCTAGTAATTATATTGCCTTTCACGATGATATTTGTGAATAGTTGTGCTGAAAATGTAGACAGCTTTGTCTGCACCTGCATCAGACTCTCCTACGATTCATTTTCAACGAAATGCGCAAGCTAACAGATACCCTAGGGACCAAAAGCGTGTCCATGAATGAGAGCAGAAAACAAGACGTTGTTGTGATGGAGGATTCCCACCTGAAACGGGGTGGAACAGGGGAGACACGGAGGTTGTGAGCCGGAGAATGTTGTGGCCGGTGTGGAGCACGCCATCCGCCTCGCACGTGGAGCAGATCATGTAATCGACGCACTCCACGCACATGTAGCAGACGCCAGCGATTCTCTCCCTGCAGCTGTGGCACGCCATCTCCGCATCTGAGGGGGGATTATTTCGGGAATTTTTCCGTCTGAAAATGTTCAAGTGTTGAAAGGTCGTAAAAATGAATTAGGTAGCTTTGGCGTTCAGATTTGAAAACTTTGATTAACTGCTAATATTGAATCCATCTTCATAACTTACTTGTATTGTACCCAGCTAGATCCAGTTGGATTTAATCATGAGGACCAGTTTATATTACTGGTCCTCATCTCTGCGAAATTAATGAATTAAAAGCAGATCTCTGAAAGTGTTAGGTGAGGGCTGAATTTTTCCCTCTTCAATTCAATACTCAATTTTCCTTCTCGCGGGAAGGCATAATATAGGACAATATTCCTCAAATCTTCATGCATATAGTTGCACATATGTATCTCAAACTCCTATGGATCAATGGTATTTTCTACTAAATGGTCCATTGACGAAGGTCTCCCGGATGAAATCATTTTCCAACTTTTTAATAAATTGGTTTGAGGAATGCCACGATGGCGGAAAGAAGTAACGAGATTTGAGCCAATAATAGGCCCCCTGGCTCCTGCAATATCCCGAATCACTAGTCGTAGGTTGACATGAAAAAAAGCAACTAGAATGAGACTGGAATTCACATCGTGAACTTGCAAATGGAAAGTTGCTGACGACTACGATCGACTTAATGGTGAATTTATACGTTTTTAATTTCAGAGGCTCCATTTCTTCATTTGGAGGTCCTGTTTCAGCATCATTAGGTCCTGGCATGTCACTTCCTTAGGTCACTTTAGGTGTCACTGGGATATTGCTGGACTCATTCTAGCATCTGGCAACAGCTGAGGCTGAGACTAAGGCACATCGTCCGACACTTTAGTCTCACCTTCCCTCTCTGAAGCAGGAGGCATGACCGCATGAGGAGGGGGGCTGGACGGAGTAGGTGTCTCCACCACTCCCTTATAGATAGTGGATGTAACAACATTCCTTCCTGCTTCAGTCCCATGCTTCTCATGATCTACAGGTCTAAAACCCAGAGCTGTCTGTAGCACCTGAATAGCAAACTGGGCAGGCACATCGTTCCCTTCATTCATTTTAACCACTTCTCCTTCCTGGAAAACAGAATGACACAGCAATGCAGGCCACTTCTACCTTTAGAAAGCTTCTGGTAATTTCAATAAACAGGCTTAGACCCATGAGCCTCAAGTGCTCAAGCCATGAGTGCTTCCCAGGAGACAAACATTTCCCAATCAGGAAGTCATTTTATTTAATGGTTTATTGGTAAACTAACCACCATTCAAAAGCACCTCATCACATCAACTTTAAGGACTGTACAATACGGCAAGGAAGCAGAGTCAAGGTTGATTTACATTTTATTTACATTAGGCCAATATAGCATCGTTAATTGAAGATTTCACATACAGAGATTGGAGTTTCCCGAGAATGAGAATCTCTGAGAGACTGCTGCATTTCGCTTGGGAGTATTGACGCAGCTCCATCAGTTGTGCTGTTCCCACGCTGAGCTGCATTATCACTTTCAACATCAAGCACATTGCGACCTGTCTCTGGGTCAATGATGGCCAGTCGGTTTCTTTGCCATGGAACATTCTTGGGAGAACTAGGAACAGGAGCAGCTTGTGATGCAGTCTCAGAGATGGCTTTCTGCGGTGTTGCTTTCATGGCCTGTGCTTTAATCTGGTTTTCATATATGACATTCTGAGGGGGATAGAGTGCATCTGCAAAAAATGAGAGGCACACATTAGTTATGAGCTCTGTTAGAAACAGCAAAGACCCAAAGAAACCATTAACAAAAGATGAAAGGAAATGCTTGAGATCAGCAGACTCACACTGCTGTGGAAACCGAGGAGTGGGATTAAATAAGAATGTTGATGCAGAAGGAAAGCCTCCTGGATTGGGTAGATGCTGCCGGGCTCCTGCACCACCAAACTAGAAAGAAGATTCCAGTATATTTTCATGCTTTGCAGTACCAATCATTGCCGTCTACATGGAACCAGTAGAGAACCGAGTACCTGAGAACCTCAGTCATCACAGAAAACGAATTGGGAAATATGGGGGAATCCCCATGAGAAGCAGACAAAATGATGTATCATGTAAAGGTATACATGACTGCAGCTGATCAAGGTTCTTTATCACAAGCCACTTTCCCGGAAACCAGGGGTTTCTCAGCAGAACCAAGATACCAACAAAGTACGCTTCAACTATCGCAACAATATGCAGGGTGTTTCTGTATAAAGCCCGGATTTATTTATCGAATAACTATTATTGTACAGCAGCGTTTCAGTTCGTTGAGGTCTCATTCGAAAGAGCAGGGTTTCCCATTTTATCTGCACTTTGAACTTGATCGATTCGTAAAACAGTATGAATACAAATACGATGGATGGCGTAAACACCCCTTTATTCGGTCTTTTTCGTGAAAAGTTGATTTTATCAGTTTGAATGGAACAAAAACGCAAACACGAGAGCAAATTTCAACACGTCCTCCGTTATTTTGGATGGACTTCGGCAGTAGGAAGGGTTTTTCGCACATTTTTGGCGTGATCTCTGCGAAGGCGTTGACAATGTGTCGTTCGAGCTTGTCCAGATTGCTGATACTGGCGGTAACGAACAAACGGTGCAGTACGAAAAAAGTCATTTAAAAAATAAATCCAGGCTTCATACAGAAACATCCTGTATTTCAAGTTTCCAAACATATACAGTAGTCATATGTGGTGTTTTACAATCGTTCAAAGTTGGACGTGACTGTCTACAACCTGCTAACCAGCTGGGCCCACACAGAACAACATAACAGGCAGAACCACGTTGCCAAATAATTGTTGCAGGTAGGCTATCTCTCCTCCCTCATTCATATTTAAAAAAGCGGGGTTTTCTTCCAAACGCCAGGCATACAAATATTAAATTGTGAGGTATGCCCAACTTCCATGAAAAATCAGGGTAGAAGCCCGAGTTTGAAGGATGGCATGCCCAAGGTGCCTAATCGTGTCTAGTGATATCATGCGAGCCATTAGATAAGTCTCTGTTAGTAGAATAAGAGCCCATGGGCTTGACCAACTGCTGCAAAAGGTCAACATTTTTGTCAAAAGCAGCGCAACGATGTACTGAGCAGCAAGCAATCCACCTGGCAGTAACAAGGTTCCCACAACTGGAGCAAAACGGCACAAACATCATCCCTGGTATGGGCAAAGACTTCTGACTGAAGCAATGACTAATTGGAAATGAAAAGGGTCGTCCTCTGTGTGGTGCAATTTCCTCGATGATACCAAGAAAATTTTCAATAAATTTTCATGGAAGTGCTAAAAACAGAACCACTAGAATTAATCATTACCGAGGTAGGATTAGACATCTGACGTATATATCCTATATCTCCTAGTATATCCTCACATCTTGAGGACGTACTGCGGACGCATCTCGGATGTCTGATGTTGCCTGGCTAATTTTTCCACCATAATTCTTGACCTCTTGCACGTTCACAATACGCTCTACATAGCATGTCCAGTTTTGTATTCATGTGTGTTAAGGAAACTAAATTTTGCTTTTCAAGGGATAAATATAGAAAAGCCCCACAATGCTCCCTCTATTCTTTTTTTTATTTAGAAAAGTGAGAGTGAGCTCCCTCCAGCAAGGAATCATATTCGCCCCTCGAATATAATAGCAAAATTCCGAAGGTGTGTTCTCAGATAATAATAGGCCTTTTTGGTACTCATGGATTCAAGGAAATATGCCTTTTTTTTTCAAGCAAACTTTTCTTTCAAAGCTTCTTTAAAATACTTTTGGGCATAATAGTTCTGAAGTCTTTAATACGGCAACTTATTTTATGGGGAAAGGCATTTAGATTTACTATGCCTTTTGTTATAAATTCCGACCCAGGAATGCCAAAGTGCTTGATTCCATGCAAATGGAAAACTACCTTATGCTAAGTCCAAGGCTACCTGATACTGAGATAACCTCTCATAATGACGCCCCAATGAAACATGCAAAGCCAAAAGGAATGAAGCCCCTTACATTGACAGGGATTTGTGGGACAGGAATGTGAGTGACCTGAGGCCCCTTGTTAGTCCCTGGCAGTCCGTATGGCAATCCAGCCGCCATATTCAATGTGGACAACTGCTGATGATTCATTCTGATTTGCTGGACCTGCGGTCCTGGTTGCAGATGACGTGGTGCCCCATTTGCAGATGGATAAAACTGTTGATGCAAGGAAAATGAACAATTCTGACCTCAGTCTTCAAAGAGAGTCTTTTACACAAATACTGATAGTATTGTTAATACCTGGGGATGGGCATGTGTTCGTGGTCCAGGCTGCCGCCTCTGATTGAACATCATTGATCCAGGAGGTTGTGTTGAAAATTGATTTTGGGTGTTTCCTAGAGCAGAACACGACCAAATTTATATTCGTGTTCATAAAATTCGAATTTATTTGCTGCATGAAAAATATAATATTGCTCACCAAGCGAGGGCTGGGAGGAATGGTTTTCTTGCTCATTTGCAGGCACGTTTTGGGCGACCCCACCTTGCTGTCGAAACAATGGGGGTGGCGTCTGGTTGACAGAGTAACCTCCAGGTACACCTGCGCACTCTTCTCCTGGAGCACGCGAACAAAATTACTAAAGACATGCAGGTTATTTCTATTTAAAAAAAACTATACCGACGAGTATTGCAAACTGTCAGTTACAGAAATAAGATTCTCCTCAATTACACTTCAGAAGACCGTCATGATTTTTTCATCATTCATTGAAAGTTTCATTGCACGGAAAATAATGAAGGAAAGGAGAAACAACTCACGTATAGTTCCTTGCATAGTGGCTCTCGTGCTATATCTTATTCAGGCATGGCGTCAAGGATCTTCGGGAGCTGCCTTGCACAAATTTACATTCGCGTCGGATCGTTTGGTAGGTAGACTATAACGCCTTTGGCATTAGAATGCAATTACTAAACTATACGTTGAGCTTTTAACGCATGAATCTATACATAATATAATGTAAATATTAGTCCTGATAATTAGCCCCGAGAAATTAATAGGCATCACATGGTTCCGATATCGGAAGACATCAAGGGTGAACCAGGAGGAGCAGCCACGAAAATTCCAATAGAGGACTGGTCCTGACCAAAGCCATCTACGTGAGATCAGAAAGTTTTGTTTTTTTTTTCAGTGGGGAACGGTGGGAGGAAGATTGCAGGATTGCACATTCCCAGGCTGAAGTGCAAAATGCACTCCCAATAAATATATTGGAACTTTTGCGATACAGGAAAACGTGATTCTGCCATCTTCCACCAATCATTTCATCACATTTCAACTCTTTCATCGCCCATGAACATGCACTCCGGGGTGCACCTTCAGTATGCGACTATTCCGCATCTATTGCATTGCATAATTTCCTAACACTTTCATAACCTGATAAGCTGCCTCCAGTGGTTTCCCTCAAAAGTTACTCTCTCTGTGGCAGTTTTCCCTTGAAAATATGACATTTTGCATTAGCTTAGAACAGCCACCCATTTCATTGCTGTTCTAGTTGATTTTAGGAACTAAAGAAATAGAGAGAAACTCGATTTTATTTCAGTAGTCCTAAAATCAGCCAATGTAAAAATGTTGATATTAAAAGATACATGCACCTACATTTTTCATACCACTTGTATTCAATGTCCCTCATTCGAATATCATTTTCCCATAATTTAACAGAAATAATGATTTCATGATGGTCCATTACCATAAGGACCGTCAGTGCTAGCAAAATTACTTTTAAAAAAAAGGGGGATTTTTTCGACCTAGAAACATCTTCACTCTAAAATGGTGAGCCGCAAATTAAATAATGAATTCCCTATCGATTTTGAACTGAAAACCACGAATCCTGATATATTATCATGAAAAATCATTTATTCAGATATAATTTCATGATTAAATAAAATGCTTTGCATATTTTGTAATATGTCACTTCACAATTCCCATTAAGCCCTAATTCTAATATAAATAATTATAATATGATGGGTTCTTTATTATTGGTAGACCAGTCCTGCAGGTGGAAAGAATAGGGAAAAGGCACGTGAGGAACTCAAGTGGGTCATTTGCAAGTTCAGCATGCAAGATTAAGGAAAAAAAAATAAGCCAGAGCAGTTCACAATGATATGCCACATTCTCGTAGTATTGTCATGCTTGATCATATCGAGTATGCATTCATCATGTGAAACGTGAAATGCAAAATCACAAGAAGCCAACACTCATTACGGTACTGAAACTTACTCCTCTCCCAATACGGTACCTCAGATTTGTCTCATAATTCGTCAGGAGTGGTAATCAACACTCATGCTTGCCTTACTTTCTCATTGCCTCTGCCAACTAGACACACTTAGCTTATTCAACAAAAGCATACCAACACCTTGCATTGTAACCTGGTGCAATTACAGTGCTGCTACAGTTACTTGGTTTACGTAGGGTCATGCGTCAGTTGAAATGGTAAATAGTCCCCTACAAACCATGAGCCTCCTTGAAATGACCAAGAAGTGTGTTGCAGTAGCTTTGGGAACTTTGGTTTGCGCACTGCTGCCTTAGAAGACCAGAGAAAATTGAGAAACTTCCCCACAGACAAGGCTACGTTGGACCAACGTTGCTTCAGCATTCCTAACGTTTATTCAAAATTGATTCAACATTGATTCGACATTATGTTTTTCAAATTGTCTGCTGGATTCTGTCTTTCCAATGTTCATCGAAAACACGACAACGAATGCACTACCTCTTCACATTCTTGTTTCAACTACGATAGCCATAAAATGAACCAACTCGAACAGGTACTTGAAATGTCACTTCAGTCACTTTGTCATACACTGTGCATTTGAGAATTTTATAATTGATCTATGAAATGTCCATGCACTGTAGAATAATACATTGTGATAGCATAGGTTGGGTTTAAGTTCGGAGATCAATCCCAGGCTAGGACCACAAAAGATGAACGAATCGTAAGCTAAGTTTGTGTGAGAAAGCCGAAAATATAAACCAGGTCTAATATTAGGCCCAAAAAGAGGCTTGAGAGAAAACGCAATCAAAAGGATACTGTTGAGTGGTATACCTTGGTGCGAACCCTTGCTGCTGATGCTGTGATATCTGCTGTTTCTGTTTGCTTGGTATAACGTTAAAATTCATTTCATGAGGCTGAGGAGCTGAGAGCGTCGGTTTGCATTGGACCAGTCTCCGATTCTCGCATGGAAATAGCTGGAAACACAAAAACGCTATTCATTCTATCATCCACAGTACTGTGTAAACCTTTTTGAGCTGTTAAGAAACCTGATGCGTTTATTCCTGAAGCAGCACGATGAATTCACGCTCAACTAAAGCACTTGCACGCACCTACTTTGTGTTTCCGCACGGAGACAACCCCAAAAGCTTACAAGATTACGTCAGCTTTATCAGTAATGTTTCATTGCTTGTTTGTACGCAATACGTAAGCCTCTTATCTGTGAGTCTCCCCACTCAGGTGCAGGAAGAGCTGCCTTATCTGTTGCTTCTTTCACAAGAATTCCTTGCCAAGAGAGTATGTCTGTTATCTGCCATTTCATAGGTATATATAGGGTGATTCAAGTCACCTATATTTTTTTCACACCAAATCGACCAGAGGATGAGCTCAATGATCCTCGATTTTGACAAGAATCGGAATGCATGTAAAGAAATTGATTATAAGAAAGTAAATTTGAGCTTTTTTTTATCTCGCTCCGATCTCGAGATGTATGAATTTGAAGTGTCACCTATTTTTAACTCCTGGCGCCCACAGGTATACCGTATGGACAGGAATTGAGAGACTATTTTTGCAATAACTTCTACTTGAGATAAAAGCTTCGTTATGGTGTCATTTTAATTGTGAAACTGTCGTCTTTAGATTGTTCTAAGACATTATCCTCTGAAGTTAAAACAAGGACTTCCACTTAAACAGTTTTCTTAAGTTCAGGGGTCGACATCTACACTTGCCATGGTTGGAACTCGTGGTTCCAATATTTGATTCCACGTGTTTTTATGCACTTTCTAACGATACCAACTAACCTTGATTCCAAGTGGGTTTTTTTTATTAAAAAAAAAACCACTTGGAATCAAGTATTGGAGCTACGAGTTCCAATACTTTTTCCAATTTGAATGAAAATTTTGTTTCGGCTAAGGTGCCATTTCCCAAGCCGATGGATTTTGATACATTTTTTGATACAAGAATTAGTCAGGGTGTACAGTTGGACGCTGGACTCCTAGGGAAAAGTTTAAGTATATGTGACTTTTCCTGCAAATATTCTGGATGTCAATCATCCGAACGTTCGATTAGACTAAAATAAAGAGGGAGCAATGCTACGTACACTTGTCCACCGATGCATCGAGTTTGAGAATCTGACAGAATACACCACATATGACACCTTGAGCATATCATGCTTCAGAGAAGTCAAAGAATTAGTACATCCTCCTAACCCCAAAAAAATATCACGAAAGAGTTGCGACTTTTTGTAATTACTCCTTGGTTGAGTATGCTACCTAGACCATTTCACACAGCAGCTACGCTAGTAATACACAGGTATATTTGTTGGAAAAAAAAATAGAATTCACTCTTATTCCTGCTTTGTGCACTCTTCCTTTCTCAAGCCTTGATTGAAGGACATGACCTAGCTGATTGTACAGAGTGGACCACGAAATGAGTTTTTCTTTCGTAATATGTTGACCCGGTGAAGACAGCCGCATAACCTGTGACTGGGTGCTGAAATAGGATCTGGAGAAATTGTACGATAGATCGAAATAATGGGGAAATGCATTACATTTGGATATCTGGGGATTTGTGCGTTTACCCGATTGTACCCTATATGTGTATCTGAGTCGACAATGTCCTTAGATTGGATGTCGTTTGAACACCATCTGCGGTGAGATCAGTGGATGTTACTCTCCGTTCCAGATCTGAAACGCGTAGCCAAACTGCCATTCGAAAATCCAGAACATGAACGCCTAGTAATAAGTTTGCGTCCCCGTCCTCCTGAGAAGAAAGGTAACAAAAACTCTCTAATAAAGGCGCAGGACAGTGTTCCTGCTTGGGAGTCCATCATGCCTCTAGAAAAGTTTTGAAATGTCTTCAGAAACAGTTACGCTTTTCACCTTCGCGTACATCAGCTTAATTTCATTATTTTGTTGCATTATCAGATGTTACTTAACTTTTTCATGTCCAAATATACACAACAGTTTTTTCCAGGTCCTTTTGCAGCTCCCAGTCACAAGTTATGCAGCACTCTTTACTGGAAGTCAACATATTACGAAATAAATACCGTCATCATTGCGTGGCCCATCCAGTATGAATAGGATCCAGAGATCTCTCCTATATAATGAATTAGCTGCACGAAATAAATATATGGGCGGTAATGAACAAAGTCCCCTTCATTAATACAAACTTATTTGTGGTGGTTTTTGGTAAAGGAACTTTCTTTCAGACGTAGTAGCAATATTTATTGGATTGGTGTTGCAATCAGAATCCATGATATCAGCCAAGTCTTTCATAATTTTTTTCCCGATGCAGTCCAATGTAATCCTTGCCTGGTCAACCAGACCCAAAATGATTTTGAAGAGAAGCTTGAAAAACGACTGAAGAAAGCCCAAAAGCATATGATCCACCTCTTCCTTAATTTCAATCAGCATTCAGCTTTTCATAAGTTTTTCATCCCTCATTGCTCAAATAGCTACTTATCAAAGGGGGAACAGTGTAGAGAACAACACGAGTTATCAGCGAGCGATATCTGAGCCACTGTTTATTGATCTTGAAAGTGCGGATAAATTTTTGCGCTACAACATCCGTGTGAGTCCTTTAATAAATGAAGTTTGGTACAAAAGTTTTAGAACACGACTACCATTTTTGCGAGCTGGGTCTTGGAGTTACTTGCTGGGGTCACTTTCAAAGTAGTCTCCTTGGGAGTCCACACACCTCTGCCAGCCGTCCTGCAGCTTCTGGAAGCACCTCAAAGTATTGGAATGACTAGAAGTTCCCACGTCGCATTTGTTTGGATAGTCTGGATGACCTCAAACCTTCGGCCTTTCAGATGCATTTTCAACATCACAGAGCTTGAACACCCTCCCTATTCGCCAAGTCTGGCTCAGTGTGATTTTTTCCTGCCCCACAATCTGAAAATGCAACGTGACTGAGGACAAAGTAGGAGACGACAGATAGCTAACTCAAAGGCTTTCGTTGGGTCTCAATTCCGATAAACGATAAGGAGAACAAGAACGAAATGACGGCATTATTTGTCCAATGAGGATTGTACGAGACAAATTCCCCATTAACTGCAGTTGACAATTTTAAAATCTAACGACTTGCAGAAAACTAACTTGTTATGCCATCCAAGTCGGGCATGAGAGAGAGACAACGGGTATGCGAGAAGGAAGTCTTATGAAAAGGTGATTGAATTACTCGTTTCCCCTAGCCGAACACGAGGGGCAGAGGTCGATGTCTGGGCATTGCAGCAACATCTCACTGGGCCACGGCAAGAGACGCATTCCACGTTCTGGTGAACATGCCCTAAAACAACAATGCAGATCCATGACCAGCATATTAGAGCCCCTTCATTTTCTGGTTATCTGAGCATTTTTCCGCATTCTTTTGCAATGCCGAGAACCAGCACAAGGTGTATTACAAGGTAGTTTCACTCAGTTTGTTCCCATGTTCCAGCAATCTGTTTAAGAATCGCATCGTGCAAACATTCTCAAAGAGGTCCGAATGTTTAAAACCATCTGCAGCGCGTGTGATTGTAGGGGGTACTAGGAGTCAAAGCATTGATATTGTACGAGGGTAAGTCAGAAAGTAAGGTTCCCGTCCATCTATCGGCAGGGTTTCGATAAGCTGATCAACTGTTACGACAAAGTCTCAACAAGTCTGGCGACTACGTGGGTAAATAATAAACGTATGTAGGGACATTTCCTGTATATTTTCTTCGGTGTAATTACCTGCTCTCTGAATAAAAATAAATAGGGAACCTTACTTTCTGACTTACCCTCGTAGTTGACGAAATACCTGCAAGACTGAGTCGCCATGCGAACAATAGTGGAGCCCCTGCCTTGAATGGACAGTTGCCAGGAATTGGGAATGGATGTAAGATATATAGCGCAAAAAGAACAATGCCAAACTGAAGGTAAGGGCCATTATCAGGAACCAGACCAAGAAATCTGGCATGAATATTTCAGCAAAAACGAGGCGCCATCAATACTTTCTAGACATAGCTGTTACACCGTGACTCCCCTGGTAGCACTTGACCTGTGGCATCGGACGGGTGGCAATTTTTCCTGTTTAATGCAATTTCCACACCAGACTTCTGTGTATTTTTTACGCATGGACCTAGCCTTAAATAATATTTTCTCTCCGTTCCGTTGTTGCCGCATTTCATACATATGCGTGGCAATTTTCCTTCAATGCCGCTAGATTCAATAGCATTCGCGTAACGAGAGAAATATGAAGGTCTAATGCAATCTTTTCTTACCATTCATTTTCGATGCTGATGTGGACAATTAACGCTAACTTTAGGCCGAAAGTAAAGAGAAGAACTTAGAACTAGCGGTTAGGTTAAGGCAAAGGGTCTGGCCTCACTCCACAGACAGGACAAGCCGTCAGTGGGATGACTGATAACAAATGAAATACGGTGTTCAAGAAACAAGCATTGAAATAAAGTTAAATTATTAAGTTAAAAAATATCATAGTTGATGTCAGATTGAGGAACACTGGATAGGCAGACTTACTGAGGTAGGTCCATAAGGCACACCGGATTTCCAGGGACGGAGGACGAAAGACGACAGAAAGAGTGCGGAAGACTGGCTGACTGAAGACTGAAGGACTCAATGCAGGAGACTCACTGAATTGAGGAAGACACACTGCCGTGGACGGAATCGCCTGGTTGGACGACGCGGGCGGCAGTTGAGACGGCGTGACCGGATGCCACTACCCACACTCTGAACAAGGTAGAGGGTTACACCGAAATATCCCTGCCATGGGCATAGCCCGTGCAGGACCGCGGACAGGACGATACTCCCGCGGGAGCTCAGGGGCTCTACTCCTGACATATTCGATTTTTATATTATTGCCCATACAACACTAAGGCCGTAGTGCCCTCTACAGCCACGTACGTCACAAGCAGTTACAAACTTTCTATGGCTCCATTATGCTTCCCAGCAAGTTACATTGCTGTTCGTTCATTGTTCTGACCTTTACAGCTATTTTAAGTGCGTAAGGGACTGCATCACCTTGTGTATATCTAATTCATGGAATACGATTTCCCGTCTCTATTTTTGCATTCATTCTCACCTGGTAAACGATGGGGAGTTTCATAGTAGCAAATGATCCCAACTAGTTACTTTTGACCTTGCAGCCAAAATTATTTCATTTTCTATGAACGTTATGCCATCATATAACTGACACCTCTTTGTTTAAAGTAACGTGCTCATCTCTGGACAGTATAGTCTTCTTGCGACATTCAGCCGTCTGAAAATCGCCCGGAATCCTGAGAAACCCATTCGAAGCGGACCTACGAAAGTCCCTCCTCTGAATTCGTGTCCTAGCAAGAGGGGGAACGAGACAGCGTCATAGGAAAGGTCTATGTGTGAGACGGGAGCCAAGACTACCTTGGGACGAGGGATCTGAGAGGGCAAAATACTTCTGCTTTCCGTGCTTTCAACGCTCAGTATTTTTTTGGAAAGGGATACTGACAGTGCTTTACATAGATCTGAAACGCCTCCTCAAAGGCGTGACGTGGTAATTTCAGCATCTCTCCTCGGGCAGGCGAGAAAAAGTACTAATATTACCTGTAGTTTGAATTTAAAAAGTGACAGGTTAACTATCCCAGGTTGCATCTCCTTGGTAAACTTTTCCTCATTCATGTGACCAGATGATTATTGAAGACGATGGGACTTGAAAATGTGACTCATTTGAAAAAAGTCTCACCGTTTTTCCTAAGTTACCAAACCGCTTTTGTATTCTCTGTGACACGAGTGGACGGATTTCGAAATGAAGCAGCAACACGAGTTCCCGATTATAATTTCACTATTTCAAGAATCGGCTGTCAACGCCATAGAGAAAAGAGAAGATAAAACATATTTCACGCCTTGTAGATCCGGATCCGGTTCGTGATTGCTTTTCGGCAAATGGGGCAGCCCGTAATCTTCTTGGCGCAATCGAGGCAGGCGACCATGTGACCGCAGTCAGGGAACACGCAGTTCAACTCCTTATCTAGGCACAGCTTGCACAGGTTTTCGTCGTCTGGAAATGACCCAGAATACATTTGTCAGGTCCTTGCTTGCAGTGGACTATGAAGAGGTATTTTAGGGACACATAGCTTCAAATTGCAAACGAATTCGCTTATATAGGTCATCCAAACTCCTTCACAAATCCAAACTTGCAGGCTTTTTATCGTTTCCCTCTTCATTTTTCCCCAAATGGTGCTTCTGAATCCCGTCAGTTTTAACAATGAGGCAAGTCGAAGAATGCAAAAATATTTTCTGATATAGGTGCGAGAATCGACGACGGCAGTAATATCAACATAAAGAAATGCAGCTGGAGGCTTACCTAACGAAACGTCGTCGTCGTCGTCGTCGTCCCCCCCCCCCCCCCCCCCCGCCCCCCCCCCTTCTCAAACTTCATAAATGCATGAGAATTTTCCTCGGTAGCTCATAAAGAAAGCACATTTTCCTGGAAAACCCTTATTTTTCCCATAAAAATGGGTGAAATATGCATAAATATGCACAGATATACAGAAATATGCAAATGCTGAGAATCCCCCCCCCCCCCCCCCCCCCCCCCCCGAGTGGATTTGTAAGCAGATGGATGTCCCTTTAGGCGTAAATCCACCTGCGCTGGAGGGCCGTCCAACTGGTTCCAAATCCACAACTTCCCAGTTGCCGAAATGAATGGTGGAAAATTAAACATTACATGCAAACGCAAACAATTTGCATCCTTTTATCAAGCGAAACAAGTTTCCCTTCTTCAAATTTCCAACTTCACTTCATAAGTTTTATTACTTTTGAAGAGAAGAATTGCTTGGGACATTCAATATACAATCGAACTCGGTTATAACTTCATTGAATGGACCAGGGAAAAGTCGCCGTTATAACCGAATTCGACATCAAGAAAAAATATCAGCCTGACTGCCCTTTAGTGCATGGTTATAGGAGCTAGTCAAGTGAGACCTATGTGGCGTTAGTGCTAATTCGATAAGAGATCAGATAAGCATCCGTTTACGCAGACGACGACGTGACACTATGGAACGTTGCTCACTGTTATTGGTCTTTGCCGAATTCTCGAAGACGGACGTCGCCGCCGGCTCGGGCGACCCTCCAGAGGTTCCTCCGGGGAAGGAAACGACGGACGGAGACAGAGGCCGTGCTGCTGCAGGCGGAGGCGGGGGAGCCGGGGGACGTGTGCGTCGAGGCGCCGGTTTCATAGGTTTCTGGAAACGTCAAACGTGAGGAATGCATCGTTATGACCGGTAATCACTTCGCGATACAATTGTCAGAGATCTTCTGCCTGGAGACAGCGCATGAATCCTATCTAAAGCATTTGCTGCCCCGTTCCGCATAATCTCTAGTCACATTTGAATTTGAAATCCTCGAGTCTTCCCCATCGAAACCGCCACGAATTTTTCTTCCCATCTGAAGTTCGTGCGAATACCGTATTCGCATGGGTACCCTTACAAGACGTCCACATGCCAGAAGGATTCGGAGCCAGGTACATGTCCCTTCAGGCATAAATCCACCTGGTTCAAAATCCACCATCTATCCGCCTAGTCATTCAGCCAGGCGGATGCAGGTGGACGTTTTGTAAGAGTGGGCTTGGCCTGGGATCCTCATCTTCAATAAAGACCCTGATTCTATCATGGTACCATCCAATTTCCATCCGTTTTCTATTTAAATTTCGGCATCCGGCAGTTCATTCTTGACGGCATGAGAAGTCTCCTGGCACGGATTATTTCTCAGTGCTATCTTGATGTCAACGGGCTGGTTTAAATTTGCCAGGAAAAGAGAAAGAAAACAGTGGAGATAAATTATCAAAGGAATAAAGCCCGTTTTAACGAATCCTCGTTCTATGCACAATCACTTAGTACGAACAAATTCGTCATCATGAAATTTCGACACTTTCGACAGAAAACACTTAAATTATATATTATGCTCTGTGAGTCCGGTACATCGAGAATCATAATCCAATAAAATCTCTAAAACTTCTCTCACTTGCCTCACGTGCCACTGCATCCGGCAGAACTGAAATAACGTGCTGTTTTCGGGGCCGCACGCCCGAACTCAGTGATGTAACAAATGGCGATGTAAAACAAACAATTCCTGCATATTAGTGAAACAATCCGTACCGGTTGGTCGACTTGCTTCAACACGAAGCTTGAGGCTACTAGGGCTGAACGACTGAAACTACTGAAAGTCTGCACTGAAACATGGAAGGACTACATCTGCAGAGCTGACAGCCGGTATGAATTGATGAGGGAGTACAACGTAGCAGTTGAGTCCTTCGTGGTGGTATGCATCACATTGTGTATTTGTGTTAATTATTGTGTTAATAACAGGTTAGCCCCAAATATCGGTCAATTATGTGGGAAAAAAACACAGATTGCTCAATAGAGAAAAAGTCCATACTAATTTCGGTATAAATAAGGTGGAAAAAAGGTCAGCATATCTCACGCAGCAAGAACAAACGATGGTGATTCCGGTTTTATCAAGAAAATACAGGGTCGCCATAAGTAGACGGAGAAGCATCTCAAACCCGAAAACCGCCGGCGAATGAACTACACCGTCGGACCGAATGCAATCATTTCGCGCCAATATCTTAGGACCGCGTCCAAGTCTGATGCACCGCAATGGACGTAAAGCGCATACTTGAGTGAACTGGAGGCGAAGCATCGGATGATGGGTGTGATTTTGTCCCGCAGCGCATGAAGAGCAGAGGTCGAATTCCGGGCACGCCAAGCATTTGTATCGTGCTCCTTGGTTTTGAGTTTCCATGCACGCTCCGCACGTCCACTTAGCATCTTCAAAAGACTCGAGATTAAAGACAGTGGAGACGAGGCATACCTAAATAATCTTGTTCTGTATAAGCGAATTACCTTATCTGTGCATCTTACACAGGTTATTCAGGAAATGACATCTCAAATTCTCATCCTGTCAAGCCGATGCCTGAAGGCAACATGTGGCCGTAACCAAGGCACCGACCTGAGTTTTTTTTCCTCAACTGGGTAGGTACCCACTCATACCATTACATCATGCAGTCCCATTAATATTAACTAAATTAGGAAATAGTAATGCGTATGTTGAGAATGGATTCATCCCATGAACAATAAAGGGATGGATATTCAAATCCGTCCTCTGAAGTATGTAGGGACAACATAGCACGTTGTATGCACTCTCGGCAACCGTAGGGTTATCGCTCTATTGATCGTTGTTCGCCCTTAGACACTTACCTATAATCGTCAGTTTATACCACTTCGAAACGCAGACGAAAGCTTCGAGCTGACTCACAGACGTACTGAGTGCAAGAGGAGTTTGATATGAGTACATGAGGAGTTTTACAAAATGTCCACCTCCATCCATGGGAGCTGAATGGCAGGTGGATGACAGGGGGGAGTAAGGGAATTATGTACCAGGTGAAAATTCCACCACCAAATGCATTTCCATCTGGAAGGGCATCCACCCAGTTCGAAGTCCACAGTTCGACGTTTTTTAAGGGTAAATTCTTTTCCGAACGATGAGGCAGGCCGTAATGAAGTTGATCAACGTTCAGGACGACATCAGTGAATAACTAAATCAGTCTCTTACCTCTCTCCCCACACCCATGTTTTTCATCAGTCAGCATGAAACTCATGATAGGCACATAATGGTTTCTTTACTTCTTTTTTTATGGCAGCAGCCTTTACAGGAGAGAAAAAAGTTCGTCTTGCTAGGATGAAGTGAAGCTTTCATTGAACCACCCTATGGGTACTGTACGTGTTCAGAAAATCCATTGATGCTTCCGGTTGAACAGCGGAGATACGGAAAATTGAATATTTCTTGAGCAAGTTCCATGATAGTTTCCTATTACCACCAGCGATAGTGCACTCTCGACTACCATTCTCACATATAGTCAGAAGAAAATAACTCTTTAGAAATTAAAACAATCCGCAGTGCAATAGTATGGGGAAAAACCAACCGACCTACTAGAGACGATTGGGTCCTTTCAGTCATGCGAATCAACTCACATCTTTGAGCGACGAACGTCGGAAATCGAAGCAAGGGGTGTTCAAGGTGCGTGTTGTCCTTTTCTTCGCATTTCCCACACAGACTGACCTCTTGGCAGCTCACGCACTCGTACCGGAAACCGATGATGGGACCCTTGCATCCCGTGCAAAGTACTCTGCCGTGCACGAGAGCTGCAAAGCAACGGCGAATGCACAATCGAAATTAAGGTTATGGATGGAGGGTGGAGTGATGGAGGATGGAGAGGATGGCCATGCACTCACGCGCTGAAGACTGATTCATTTCTGTAGCCGCGGGGTTCGTCCGAGCAAGCATTCTCAGCGTGGGATGATTGCTGTGCGGTTTCCTCTCCTCGCAGGTCAGACAGAGGTGGAAGCCGGGACAGGTGATGCATCTGTAACGGATGTCCGTGATGGCGTTTCCGCACCCGCCGCATCGCACACCTACGATTGTCACAAGGATGGAAGTTGGCTTCATCGTCGTTAGTGGATCATGTTCGGTCAATTCACGAAATATTTATTCTTACTCTCTAGATTTCCTGATTCCTAACTTTGATTGAACGAGAAGCAGTAGCATGACAGGCACAAAAACTGAGCATGTAATTGAATTAGCACTGCATGCATATCGGGAATGGATTAACCTGTACAAGAACACAATGAATGTCAAAAGTCCGAAAATCCGCGAATGAAGACGATGAGACCCGAGAATTTGGATGGAATGAAAAGTGCAACGGGTTGCTGTCCCCAATAGCACCAGGTATTGGCTCAATGCGGGACCAATATCGTGCACTTGCCTACAACTTAGTCAATATAGCCAATGTCGGCTAAATATTGGCTCCCAAAATTGCCATTCCATCAATGTCGGACCGACGCGATGATCCAATGTGCCTAAGTTGCACTAACAAGTTTTTAGAAAATGTTTGAAGTTCTCCTCTAGGCCACTAGATGGAAGTATGGGTCTCGCTTTCGCACAGTACACAGAAGTCCCCTTTCCTCTCTCCATGGAATCGTCCCTCACATGAGTGTTTAGGTACCTCGCCACATGTCTCGCCTAGTCCTATTAATATAATAGGAATCTATAGACAAGGACACTTCATCATTTGTTATTCCCATTTTTGAAGAAGAATCATGGAGCCCAGGACATAAGCTCATATTCCCTATGAGAACCACTCACGAGAATAATTCTCTTCATCCGAATATCGTCGCAGTTGTTCCATGGACTCTGCCCACTGTTTTCTCATCCTAGGGGCACAACGATCATTATTCCCTTAGAGGACCTGGGAGGTCTCAACCTCGGGGGGGTGAGACCTCTCAAACTGGGAGGTCTCACCCCCCCGAATGCATGAAGGTTCAATGGGAGTAAAAGGAAGGCTGAGAACCACTGCCTTAGAGGAAGGAAATGAGGAACTGTTAGAGCATGCAGGGGAAGTTCAACTCTTGTACTGCTCATTATCTCCCGCCACAGTACAGTACAGTACAGTACGTTTCCAGGGAAGATTTCCTTCCTGGATGACTGACTTGAACGAATCACGCGGCTTTCAAGTCGTTTTGTTGGTAGATCTTGCGTCGCGATCACGTTCCTGAGAGAACGGCTGAAGAGCCCCTCCACGTCTTAGACGTCTACCTCAAACGTTTTAATACCGCTGGTGACGTCAGCCATCCTACATGGCTTGCTGCTCACACCAGAATGAGTATAAAGAAATGAAAAAAAGAAACCTCCCTAACGGTCCGCGAATCCGCGGACACCACCAATATTCTACAATTCCCTAGGGAATGATCATCCTGGCTGGATAAGGGGGTCTCAGAAAATATGAGCATGTTTTCGGCCTGGGCTCCATGACTCTGTATCAAATATGGGAATAACATGATGAAGTGTCAGAGTTTATTGGGTGCTATAATGAGACTAGGCGAGACATATGGCAAGGTACTAAACACTCCTGTGAGGGACGATTCCAGGGAAGTACGGAAGGGCACTTTCGTGCACCGTGCGAAAAGCAAGACCCACACCTACATCTAGTGGCCCGGAAGAGAACTTCAACATTTCCCAAAAAACCTTTCAAGTGCAACTTGGGAACACTGGACCACCGCATAGGTCCGATATTGGATCAATGAGGGAATGGCAATGCTGGCAAAGATGTAGCCAACGTGGCCAATGTTGGTCCAGCATTGAGCCAATATCTGGTGCTACTAGGGTAGGGTGGCTACCCCGGTGGCCATTGTCGTTTCCCAGGAAGGTTTCTTTTTATTGCTGAACTTTTATCTTGTCGGTGCATTGGACGCAGATTTCTTATGCTTGTTACATTCTGCCAAGAAGTTCTCTCAACATTATCTAAAAGTTACGCTTTGGTAACGTTGCACAACCCTGTTTACTATGTCCTCACTGTTTGTGAATGAGAGGGGGTTTCTTGGCGAAGCCTCATCAACGCCACTTTTCATGCCATTTCCTCAATTACTTTACAGCAATCTCTTTTAAATGTTGGTCGAAACAACAAAATAGGTACTTAAAAGAAATGCATACCCGGTTGATAGTTGAACGCAAAAGTGGGCTCGGGCACTCTGAGCATGATGTGTTCCTTGTGCGTCTTCCTCGCCTCGCATTGGGGGCAATGGCCGTAGGATGGACACTGGAGGCAGACGTACCTCGGCTTCTCGCGGCACATCTCGCCGCAGGGGCAGAGGTAGGGCGCTCTCGCCGCTGCCCTCTCTCTTGGAGCGGGCTCTGTGGGAAACGGATGTCGTCTTCGTTGTTCGGTCGCTTGAGTGAAGGTAACTTTCGTCCGAGTATGCTTGAATGTGCAAAGCTTCTCTTAAAGTCTTCAGGAACATCGAAAGGCGGAACTGCTTTCCCAAAAGAAAACTGCCTCGATCGTGTAATTCCTTAATCTCAACGGATCATCGCAATTACTAGAGATTTCTCCGGTCAAAAATACGAGGTGCAATTATTAGACTTTTTACTTGCCCTCGCACGCGGTGAGCACGCACATCTGTAGGCTTCCTTGCTAAAAATGAGTTGGATCGGCTTGAATTGAATTCGAAATTTGAAAAAACAAAGCAGATAGTTCCAACAAGTTCAGATCGTACCTGAATTTGACGGTTAGTATCTGAACCCACAACTTTCAAGGCGGAGTATCAGCCGTGATTAATTAACGTATCAGCACTCAGCCTCCACCAACACCCAGGCGAAGCATGACTGTACCAATCAAACGGGGAAACTCCGAGAAAAGAAAATAGGGGACGGTTCTCACCCGGTTGAAGAACAGGCCTGAGCTGATTGGAGGGAAGATGGGCTGCGCTTTCACCTAAACAGAGAACACAGGGTAATCAACTTCATCATTGTCATTACAGGAAAATCGTGCTGTGAGTTAACCCGGCAAAGTTCCAGCTCGGCATTTCACAAACTGAGCGATCGGTAACACTTATTTTTCTCACTTCCCAAGTTGTCCCATTCACGCGTGAGCGAGTGCCATGCACAAGTGTTCCAATAGTTCCAATAGACATCAGTCAAAAATGCCTCTCGTTCGTGAATCCTTCGTCTGCCTGCTACGAAGACCATTTCAGGAGTTCTGAGACCAACACGGAATTATGGAATTTCCTATAAATTTGCGGCGACTCTCGCTCGCGTTCGCAGCGTTTCTCGAGTCGTCCCGAGAGTTTCTACTACATTTTCCGGTTCGATTTCAGCATAGCCGCATTGCTCTTCCAGGGTGAAAAAAAAATTATCTGCCCGTGATTTGGCAAGACAGGAAGGAGCTGCATGAAGTTGGTGCATGCATCCCATTACCCAGCATCAATCAAATGTTCGAACAACTCGATGGAATCACCCTCAGAGATATCACCTCGGCAAGGCTTCTTGGCTCCTCCAATGATCTCGAAAACTTGCTTAATTTTCTTTCCCATCTTTAGGAGTTTTCGTTCAGTTCCGTTCATCGTTTCATTGATGGAATCACTCCCATTTGGGCCGTTAGAACAATCCCCCCGTTCCCATATAAATAGAAATTTTCAGCAAGTTTCCCTTTATATCCATCTTACGCTCTTGAGAACATTATCGATTTCATGACACTTTTGGTTCGAGCTCATGCACCAAATTTAATTTAAAAAATGGCTGGATTCCTTTCCTGGTGATGAGTGCATTTCTTGAACATAAAACATTTTCCTTCTCGCATTTAATTTTACCGGCAGAAGGAGTGGTTTTGGCGTCAAGCTTCGCAGGCGACAATTTTACGCTGCAAATGAACACTTTCCGAGCATTTTTGCAGAGATGTTTCAGGCAATGACTTAGCTCATGACCTTTCCGCGAGGTGCGGGTTATCAGTTCAGTGAAATTAAGTCAGAAAGGCTTAAAACTGGAATCCTCTGGGAATTGAACCGAATGGAACAAAAAATTAATAAATAAATAACAGAATATACAATTAATTAATTAATTAATTAATTTGGAATCGTATAAATCATTCGCAACCAAACGAATTTGACTCATGAAAATCTTGAGCAACTCCGTGTGAACTCCCTATAGCGACATTACATGAACATATGTTTCAGAAAACATTAGAGCTGACAGGCGAGCTTAATTCATTTGGACTATGGGATCTTAATTGGCACGAATTATAATTGGAAATGGAACAGAACGAGCATTCTCAGTATAAGCCTTTGGGAGAATTTTCTGGCATTTCCGTCTTGAATTGAGAAACTCGAGGCAGTTATTGTTCGTGCTCTATCTTCTGCATGGTTCATATTTGCTACTTCCTAATGGGTGGCTTTCTTCGCTTCGTACCGTGTGGGTTGCTCTAAGGTTCCTCCTGAATGGGCTCGCAATCATTGGCTTAATGCGTGAAACACGACTTACATTTTGGGGGTATCCTGAGCATGCGGTGATGAAGGTGCTTAGAAGCGGCTTCGCATCTCATGCAGAGGTCGTAGTCCTGGCACTTGAGGCACTTGTAGCGGTATCCTCTGATGCCCCCTGCGCATTCCTTGCAGGTTACACCGTGGTGCAGACCTCAAAAGACGGGGAAGTATCTTGGTGTCATTTTAGAAACCGTACCACGTCGAAAATGTTCACTTCAAATGCCAATACTGCATTCATAGAATGTCAATCTGAAGCTAGGAATCGCTCAAAATTTTCCAAGTTGTACTTTCACATTAGCCTGCCCATGTTGGGTGGCAAGACACGAAGCTGTTAAGATACCATCTGGTAAGATGACCGAGCTCCTCAGAACAATGGCGCTGGGCTTGGAAAAGCGAATCATGGGATGATGGAAGTGCTGCTCCTCAGACTGCTCACAGTTGCTGCACAGGTTGAAGTCAGGACACACAAGGCACTTGAACCTCCTCCCTCTCACTCCCTGGTGACAGGAATTGCACGAAACTCCTGGATGCTCTTCGCCTATTTTGACAGAGGGAATGGAATATCAAGCGTTACAAGCGTTACAATCATCGTTCTCGTCTTCATTGTCATCGTTATCATCTACGTCATCTCATGGAGGCACGCGGAATAATGTATTTGCAGCGTATAGGACAAAGATTGCTGCAACAAAGAGTTTCATTAGGTCGCAATGTCGATACATGCCAGAGGAAACAAGAACGAGACGGCGGCTTTACATGTCCAATGAATACTGTAACCTCACTAACTGCAGTTGACAATGGTTTATAAGTTCAGGTTGGCTTTAAGCCAGAATGCAACAAAAATTTTGACTTGCAAAAGACTCGCCTGTCATCCCATCCAAGTCGGGCGTGAGCGGAACGACGGGTATGCGAGATGGAAGTCTTATGAAGAGGTGATGCGAGTGCTCGGTCCCCCTGGCCTCGCACGTGTGGCAGAGGTCGACTTCTGGGCATTGCAGGCATTTGTAGCGACTTCCTCTCACTGGGCCATGGCATGATTCGCACTCCACGTTCTGGTGAACGTCCCCTATAGCATCGAAGCGGACCCATGATCATCATATTAAAACATCAACATTTCCAAGTTATATAAGCATTTTTCCTTATTCGGTTGCATTGGCGAGAATTGGCACACGCTTTTCCTGCATTAGTTGCATTCAAAGTTCGTCCCCATCGTTCAGCGACCAGTCCGAGAATCAAATCATAGCAACCATTCTCATAAAGAGTTTCGAATATTCCATAAGACCCCACAACGACGCGAGATGGCACCTAAATCCCCTAAATCCCACAGCTATTTTGGGGGGGGAAGGGGTGGGAATTGGAATTGATCAAAACGTATCCTCCTTAAGGCTGAGATCTAAAACCTGCTATCATTGAGTATTGAAAGCGTTTAATCTGACATTGAAGGCTGTTTGACTCATTCGAGAGACAGATTCAAATGTGAATGGAGAATCATCACAGGAATCTTATCAAACACGCAGTTTCGACAGGAGAAAAGAACTCGACGCGTGATAAGAGCCACCACAAAAGGATTCTATTCCTGCGAGAGATAAAGTTACACGAGGATGCAATCGAAGGACAGACATTCCACGTTGGAAGCTCAGGATTTACATCGAATGAAGCTACGGGATGTACGACGATCCACCAGGCGATTTCGATAGGAAGTGATGCTCAGGGGGGTAGAAAACTATTTCTCTAAAAATTTATTTATCTCTGGAATCTGTGGATCCAGCGTGCGAATTTCGCTAAGGCACCGGTAGTCTGCATCGAGATAGTATCCATCTACTATGGGGGTTAATAGCCTCAACTCCTGAAGCACGAAATAAGGTGAACATATCGTTTTCGATTGCATCATTATCCATATTTTCTATGCTCTACTAAAGTTAAGGACTGAATGCTAAAGTGATTTGTGCATTTTAAAAGGCATTACCGACCAGAGAAACTTAGGCTCGGACATGAAACTTGCTGGATAGCATCAAATGGGAAGTTGAAAACCGGAAGTAGTTGCAGAGTGCGCTACGAGTCAAAGCACATAGCACTGATATAGTAGATGACGAAATGCCTGCAGATCTTAGTCACCATGCTAACAATAGTGGAGTCGCCATGTCTTGAGTGGAATGTTGCCAAGGAAATGGACTAAATGCAGGAACTGCAGTGCTAAATAATAATAAAAAGGCGAAATTAAAGTTGAGAGAGGAAAATCACTGAGAATTTTAACATGGAACCTCCAGCGAACAAGAAGTGTTATCGATGCTCTTGACGGCCACACCGTGGCTTTCCTGGCAGCTGTTGCATTGTGGCATCGCTTCGGACCGGGAGCAACATCCACACCAGACTTCTCAGTGCATTTTCTGTCTCAAGTAATGTATTATATTTTCTCTCCGTTATTGCTGCATTCCATCCCTTTTCGTGGAATGTCCCCTTAATGCCGCTCAAATCACTAGCATTCGCATAATGACCGAAACCTGTCTTTCATGCCACTCAGGTTCGATGCTTCAACGGCGTCCCCTGCAACCAGGTAAGCCACTTGCGGTAACAAACTTCCCAAAGCTCTTTATGCTTCCAAATAAAGTTGAAATGGCGTTCGTTAATTTATCTGAACAGTACAGCCGTCAAAAGTGTGCACGTGCCTGCATAATCACCTTGTGTATCTCTAGTTAATACGATTTCCAGTGCCAGAGCATCCCCCTTTATGCATTCATTAATTCCCACCTGGTCAACATGGTAAACAGTGGGGAATTTCAAGGTAGCAATAGATGCTAACTATATAGTTACTTTCGATGCTGGAGCCAAAATTAATTCATTTTTCATGGACATTACGCCAACTACAACTGGTCCCTTTGTTTAAAGAAACAAACTCATCCCTGGACATTATCTTGTCTTCCCCGACATTCTTGAATAGTCGTGCTACAAATGTAGATCACTTTGTCTGTACCTGCAAGACACGATCGGAAAACAAGACGTGGTGGTTAGGAGGATTCCCACCTGACACGGGGTGGAACAGGGGAGACACGGATGACGTGAGCCGAAGAATGTTGTGGCCGGTGTGGAGCACGCCATACGCCTCGCATGTGGAGCAGATCATGTAGTCAACACACTCCACGCACTTGTAGCAGACGCCGGCGATTCTCCCCCTGCAGCTGTGGCACGCCATCTCTGCACCTGAGGAAGAATTGTTTCGGCAATTTGAAAATTTGAAACACTGTCGAATGGTTGGAACTAAGGAGCTTTTGGCGCTGAGATTTGCAAACTCCCGATTAATTAATGATATTGAAGTCATCTCCGCAACTTCTTTCTGGTGTGCCCAGCTGGACGAAGCGCCAGCTTGAGTATCAGTAATATTAATCTCTGCTAAATTTAATCCATTTTAAATCTGCTAAATTTAACCTTTCAATCCATTATTCAATTTTCTGTCGCATAATATTTGATATTATTCGTCCATTCCCCATATATATAGATGCACGTATATTTATTAAACTCTCAGGGATCAGTGCTAATTTTCTGCACTGTAAAAAATTTTGCTCGCCAAAACACTTGAAGAATCACCCAGAACGCCTGGAACGTAATATACTTGGCACATCTCAGAGATCACCTGAGGTGTTCCCTGAGGGGAGCTACTGTATCAGGGGTTGAAAAAAAAAAAGTATGGGAAGAAAATGTGACAATGAAAAGGGCACAGAGAAGTCAAGGAATTATTCTTAAGCAGTGCCACAGTTGTGAACTACAAAATGGAATTGTTTTCTCAACAGACACTCTCCTTACACTAACACCATCACGACTGGACTTGCGAAGAATTATGTTCAGAAAGATCTTTTTTCTTTTAAAAATATGAAGCTGGAGTGCATCTCTGTTCACTTACACAACATTCCTCTATTAAATATGAATGAACTGGACACTATTGGTGGAGTATATTAGGAGAGCAGCAGCTTACGTTTTAAGAGAAAGAAATAGCAAGATAAATTCTTCACGAATTTCCTTTCTGTCTTGCTAAGAAGCAATTTGATCTTTCTAACACTCTTCCATAACAAGAACTTATAGAATTTTGTAATGGTCCTGGTTCACCAATCATCTGAGAGGACTTCTGTAAATGTCATTGTTTTAAGTCTCTTGTATAAAGAAAATTAGAGAAATTATAAAGAAAGAAATACGCTAAAGTTACACATATTGAGGTTGAAGTGATGAGGCATTTTGAGTTCTGTCAGAAGTCTGTGGTGAAAGCAGCCCGGCTTTTCACGGCATCAATAATCTGATCTCTATCCAGCAAAAGTGTTGCCCATACAATTTTTTTATCGAAAAATTAATGAACAAAACATATTCACATTTTCCAATTACGATGACATATTTAAACAAAACTAGAAGGAGTTCCCAATTTTGCAAGTACTAGGATGCAAAATTGTGACTCTCACTGTAAGCTCGGCAGAAAAAAAACTTTTGAGGAAACAATAAAAGCTATACATGCTAACCAGCCAACATCACTATAGTATGTCTCATGTGAATTACTGAATTTAAAATATATTTTGGAATATAGGGCTAGTGTTATGATTTATGCATCTTCAGATATATATGACATAGCATTCACCAGATATGGCTTTTACATAGGATAAAATTTAAATTAGGTGTTAGCTACACTTGGAGGGCAGGTGACAGCATATGACTTGTTTTTGGAACTCCTGAGTGAAAGGATCACTGCTTTGTGGCAGCTGCACCACATGCAGGACTAGGAATAGTAGTAGGTTAACTGTTTGATGCAATGTTTCATAATCTAAAATTCAATATAAGCTATATATTTTGCCAAAAGTGTCATTCAACCATGATCTATTCCTTTACTCATAAGGAATTCATAAATATTTGGTTCCTGCCACATTGTAGAGCAGAAGTGGCATAAATATCTCATAAATTCTCATATTCATGAAACTGAGATGAATTTACTCGAGACTTTCAGGAAATTGCCACCACTTACAATTCCCAGCAGAGAGGGCCTGAAGAGATGAGTTTTTGCAGAGTTTCACTACTTCCTGACTGCTTCAAGAGCTCTGCCTGGAGTCACTAAACCCTTTATTCCTGGACTGTTAAAGGCTCTCAAGGTCTATATGCTGCAGCACCAAACCATAATGTGTTTTGACTGAATATGTCTTCATGATTCTGCAGGCCAGTGCACAAGGTTCACCTCATCCACACGTGTCTCTCCCGAGATCTGGTGATGAATGCAAATTATCCTTAAGCATAGTCCTACTAGTGAGAATTAAGAATGGGGTGATGCAAGTTTGATTCGACAAGGTCTAAAGTGAGAATAGCCTATGTCTATTTTCCTGTCTCTTAAATTTCCTGATGCAGGCCTACATTTCATCCTTCAGCCAAATGAGCAGGTTCAATAGTTAGCAGGACTTGGCAGGTCAGAGGGGAGAACATAAGAGACCTTCCATCCTTCTGTGATGGTGGGTATTAAACCAAGACCTTTGTCTTCAAAAGGGAACTTGTAGTGCAGGTGAAGTAATCATAACAGTGTTAATGAATGTTCCAGAAATGTCAAAAGTCTTTCAGCCAATGGACTCAAATCTAGGCCCTGGAGCCACAGTATTAAAGTGCAGTCTATTTGCATCTAGTAAAATGGTAAATTAACCCTTAAACATATAGAATTCATTGATAGTACCAGGTTGGGGAAAGTATCTATTAACTCTGACCTCAATAGTTTGGGGCCACTGCCTTAATGTCATAGTGTTTTGAAAATGAAGTTCACATCCAGAACATGGCACTGTCACCAACTTTGCCTAATTAGTATCAAATGTTGACGAGGTTCTCTTATTGCAGCCACGTGCATGCAACAGCAGTATTTGAATGTATTTTTTCTAAATTTAGTACCTTGGCTGTCAATAGACAAACAAATTATTCCAAAGTATTCTACATTTAAGGAAAAAGGCAAACAAACACTGCATTGGCCTACCATTTGCAAATTTCTGTTTATCTCTATGGATGAACTTTAAGATCAGATCATGTCGACCATGCCATGCAAATTACAAGATTTTTAGTCCAAAGCTGGGTCTAAACCTAAAGTAGTCTCTCATTTAGGCTATACTTTCTAACTCAATTGTAACATACATTAGGCCTAGCCTAACGTTATAATATAGGCAGCACCTATTGACCGAGCCGGCTCGGCCCTGACTTAAGGGACGAGCTGGAAAGTCACCTGACCCGTGACATCTCAGTTGATGAGACCAATACTCTATATAAGAGAGCTCGGCCTCAAAGTTGTGGCCAGGCTGGCTTTCTGAATGGAAAGGAATTTGTAAGGTTAGGCCTAAGTCCTAAAAGATGTGTATTCCATAGTGATGACTTTCATCATATTACTAGTGCCATGTGCATCTTTTCCAGCAATTTCAACCAAAGAGTAACTATTAAGATGCAGAAATCGACAAAATCCATAAAATCGATATATATTAGTTAGGGTAGAGGGCTCACTCAAGGCCCTAGTTGTGTGTAGAGAAAAAGAGCAATTAATGGCTGATTTCAAAAGTTGATTTCAATTTACCCAAGTTCCAGCACAAGACATCATAAATAAGTAAATTCGCATGTCACCTACTTCCTAGCCTGACATGAGACCTTTTAATCAACCACGATACACTACAATAACGAACTGTCTAGTTTTGTGCTGACGAAGCGAAGAAGATTGCTGTCTTCCCACAACGCAAACGAAGCAGCTACCTTGCAAGGCAGGCCTGTCTTTGCTTGGCTGCAGGAAAACTTCCTCCTGTGAGTATTGTTATGAATATTGTTATGAGTATTGTTAGAGATGATTATTCTCAACTCGGCCAATAAACACTGCCTATATTATATCCGCCTACGACCATGATGAAAGTGTTAGGCTAGTGTTCCTGACAAGGCAGGCCTCTGATAGCTTAGAAATTCACATTCAACGTTGATTTCACCTCAGTCATGCCAAAACAGGCACGACTCCTGGTCCATCAATACCACATCATTAAGAAATCAAAATGACCCCCACGTCGGCCGCCGCCATATTGTAATGACGTAAGAGAAATTGGCCCCCCCCCCCCCCCCTCCCCCTCCCCCTCCCCCAAAAATTGTCTGATTCAAAGTATACTTCCAGTATTTCTCATATTTCTGGATATCGGACCATTTTTCACTTCGATTGTGTTTCCAAGCAGGACGATGTCCAATTCATTTCTAAAGTAAACTCAAAGAGTTTTTCAGGAGTCGAAGCCACTCAACGCGATTTCTACTTCGAAAGCATCAGGTCGGTTTGGCGAGGTGTTCTTCGCAGCGGCTCGCCTCCGGGAACACCTCCAAGAACACCTCCATGATTCATTCGAGGAGCAATGGAAACGGCGACGAAATTTCCCCAGCCAATTTCCAACTTCGTTAATGGATTTGTGCGAGGAATGCCACGATGGCGGAAATGAACGAGGGGCATGAGTCGACGATAACGCGTAGGCGCTCCGGCCAGGCCATCGCACGAAACTCCTCGCGTGACGATGATAAACGAAGCCTTATCCGGAACCGACAGAAATATGCGGCTGGAAGGAGGGATCGCGAATTCGCAAACGGCACATGAATTTGGCAAACTGACGTCCAGCGAATTTCCCGACCGTAAACACGGATGGAACGAATGAAGCCTAGGGAGTTGAGCTCCCTCGGAACGCGGGAGACCGCCAGAGGAACGCGGACTCACCGATCCAGTCGTGGAGCCCGGGGACCGATGAATAAAGTCGACGCCGAGTGGGACCAGGCGAGGCACTCGAGTCGTGGCATTGCGAGCTGGATGACATCCGTACGAACCAGGTCTCCTTATCTGCTCCGATAAGATACGGGGAGGGCGAGAGGGAGCTTCCCAGAGTGGAGGTCACTGCGGCACGCAGCAGAGTATCCGCGTTGCAAAACGGAGGCTTTCCTTCTCACTTGCGACAGCCGTCGCGACGCTGCTGCCGTTGCGACGCTGCTGCCGTCGTGTGGTCCATGCAGGTCGCGTTGCTCGCCTTATCCTTCGTAATGCTGCCGTTCCGATCAGAGATGGCAATCTCTAAATTTAAAGAATGCATATATATTTATTTTACCTCAAGTTCTCCCAAGTACTTGTTATCGCGCGATGAAAGTTGAACACCGAGTTGAAGTCATCTGCACTTGGGATCCGCGCGACGCAGCCGGAAAGTCCAGAAAGTTCTCGAAACGAGAATTTTATTCCCAGCATATTTTCGAAATTTTCAGTCTGCCGTCCTTCGAAGCGGGTGGATGTCTCGAAAGTCAGAACAGGGTCAGGCCTTGGGTCATCGTCTCTCAGAAGTTTCGCCGCGGTTCCCTGCGACTTCGCCGGTCGCCATTCGGGTGTCTGACATCACCGGATTTTTAACGTGTGGAATGATTTCTCCGGATTTCTCCACACGCACACGCCTCTGATAGCCGTCGGAGAACGTTCGCAGCGTTTTCAGCGTGTTCACCGAAATTCCATCACGGCGATTTGTTGAGCCGTCAAATGGAATGCTCTCTCGAGCAAACTGACAAGGTAACTGTCAAGCTTCGTCACAGTCAAGGTATTTCAGTACTAATTAGGAGATAATTAATATGTAGGCTTAGGTGAGAAAACTTGAAATGAAGTCGTAGGACTCTCGTGCTGAGCCAAATGCAGTGTCCATTGCAAAAACGCAGAACCGCGATTCAACGGAAATTCGAAGGAAAGTCGAACTCTATTCGTTTGCAAACCAAGAACGCAAGTGCCTCCACTTTGCACTCTATCGTCACTGCATTTGGCTCAGCATGATAGACTTCATTGCATTTGGCTCAGCATGATAGACGTCACTGCATTTGGCTCAGCATGATGGACTTCATTGCATTTGGCTCAGCATGATACACTTCATTGCATTTGGCTCAGCATGATAGACTTCATTGCATTTGGCTCAGCATGATAGACGTCACTGCATTTGGCTCAGCATGATGAACTTCATTGCATTTGGCTCAGCATGATAGACGTCACTGCATTTGGCTCAGCATGATAGACTTCATTTCAAGTTTTCTAACCGAAGGGAAAACATCTCGTTTCCTGCTGCCTTCATCATGGCGATGGAGGCTTCGGTTGGAAAACTTGAAATGTAGTCGTGGGACTCCGGTGCTGAGCCAAATGCAGTGTCTCGTGATATTCGTGATTAAACCAGATATTTGATCCTATGCGGCTGGCCAATCGGTGTCTTTTACAAGACCATTCAAAAGGTAAATGAAAACGGAAGAAGGAAAGTAGAAAACCACACTGATCCGTTCGCATTTGATTGGAAAATGACAAAAGCAAATTTGTATTTCTCTCTTTCATGGGAATCAGTCATCTCGCAATCCATCGATGAAACTCCATTCGCTCATGTCGATGTCACGTGCGATCGTCACACGTCCCATCGATGTCACACGAGGTGAAAATTACGTCTTTCGCACCGACATTTAACACTCAATCCGGAACCATCCGCGGATAGGAGAGAACGAACAAAAGGATCTGAAGGAAGAGCAAGAACAGAGGAACGCCGTACAGCAGAAGCCGACGCCGAATGAACTCCCCGGCCCAGAGCGGACCGAGGACGATCCCGACGGACGAGGCCACCTGCCCGAGCGCCTGCATCTTCCCTTGAGACTCGGGTCCGACCAACTTGGAGCCCAGGGCCACCGAGGAGACCGAGGCCATCGGGATCCCCAGGAACACGAGCGCGCTCGACGGCACGAAGAACGAGAGCGCGCGTTCGGACCGGGATTCCATCAGCTGGACGACGACCATCGAGGCGATGAACCCGACGACGATCAACACGTTCCCCGCCATCGTCACCGTCCGGTCGAGGAGTCGGTTCCGAATCAGAATCACGGACGTGTACGACAAGATCGCTTCGCAGCCGATCAGAAGATAGAAGAGGGAATCCGTCCTGGTCCCGAATTCATAAAGAGCGAGCATCGTCGGTGGAATGACCGTCTCCAACGTGCTCTGGCAGAAGGAGAACGCGACCTCCATGAAGAGGATGACGACGATCGTGTCGACGAGGAGGTCCGAGGGAGTCCCGTCTTCCCGCCGACGATCGAACGGATGGTCCTTTCTGTTCTGGGTCGAGGAAGGAACGGACCAGGAGAAGCTCACGGAGTGGACTTCGTTCGCACCGGTCGAGAACGGATTTTTGACGCGTTCGACAGGATCGATCTCGGGACCGTCGTGCAAGGGCAGTAATGCGAGGCATTGGACATTTCCTGACCCCTCCGACCCTTCTGACCGATCTGACAGTTCCGATACTGCCATATTCTGCAATGTCATGTACTGCTCGCCGATGTTTTCGTATCCGAAATATACGACGATCATGGCAAAGCCCCAAAGGACGGCAAAAATCAATCCAGACAGGGAGGCTTCGTTCACGCGATCCTCGCCGACTCGAGAATCGCCTAGCGCCATATTGTACGCAGAACCGAGGAGAAGTCCCAACTGGAGACTGGCAAACACGAAGGTGAAGATTTTCGTCCGTTCCTCGCTGGACGTGGCTCGGGCCAGTTCGGCCAGGATGACGGCGAAGATCCCGCTTCCGAGTCCGCAGATGAACCTCCCCGAGACGATGAACCACTTGTGGATGCCGAGGAAGTACATCACGCTTCCTGCCGCCTGTATGAAGGCGCCGACGAACACGATCGGCTTGCAGAGGTGCATCCATCTGTCCACGATCCAGCCGAAGAAAAGGGATGAAACGAGGCCACCCACGTTGAAGGCGGAAATGAGGATCCCCAAGTCCGTCTCGTCCCTGCAAGCACGCCATTCGACGAATCACAACGCGCTTCGACGGAACGCCCTCGAACGAATCGCTCACCTCGAACCGAGCGCCTTCAAGTACACCCAAGCCGTCGGCGGAACGATGGCATTCTCGCATCCGATGGCGAATGCGATCGCGATCGCGATGATGATGGTCACCAACCGACGTCGATAGAATTTCTGTCTGGCATTATTCACAAGGATTTCCATGAACTCGGCCTTGTCGACTCCTTTCACACACCTACGTATACGATAATTTACGATTAGGGCGTGACGAACGCAGTTCGTTGTGCAGGTGGATAATTGCAAATTAAAAATTGGAAAATTTCACATTTGGTAAACACTCCCCTATAAAATGGGTATCACGCTCGTAACACTTGCTTTTTTATTTTATTTGGACAAGTTTGAAGCAGACTTCCCGTAAAAAAAAAGAAGTTATTTTCTCTAAATAGTAAGTAAATAAATAAATAGGAAAAACAAATAATAATAAAGGAAAATTGGCTCACGAAGACGATCGGATCCACATGGAGAAGCGGGCTGTTGGAGAATGAGAGGACCGAGCGGGATCCCCGCTCTCGTAGGGCAGCTGCGACCTTGCGTTTCGACGGAGGGGGAGCGAGGTGGAGCGAATGGGAGCGAGGATGGGCGGATGCACACTTGCGAGTGCACGCGGCGGGTGCGAGAGTCTTTTCTTCGCTTTCCGTCATTCCAAGGATCGGTTCTGGTCTTTCAGCTGAAAACATATGCTTCCAGAAGTGCGAGGCGGTCTTCGTCGCAGGAATTTTTTCACTCTCCCTCTTAGGTGCCGTCACCTGAAAAAGCATCAAGCCGACTCGTGAAAGTCGGGAGTTTAAACTGCGGAGATCGGTGAATTTCACAGACGAAACAAATCGATGGAACTCCAAATTTTTTTTTTCCATTTAATTTCAATAGAGATATATATTTCGATTTAAGAAGAAAGCGACGAATAAACGACAGCAGTCGCTTGGTTTCGCGATGCCTCCAAAATAGTCGAGACATTTGGGGAGGATTTTTTGCTGCACACAGTAGTAGGAAATCAATTCACACTAAAGTCCAACAATATAACACCTTTATTTCTCCTTTCCGTCACATCAGCCTCCAAGAGATTCGATCACTTGGGAACCATCCTCGGATAGGAAAGAATGAACAACGTGATCTGAATGAAGAACATGATCAAGGTAACTCCATACAACACGAGCGGATCGTAGACGAAGGCCCCAGCCCAGAGAGGGCCGAGGATGAGCCCGAGGGAGGAGGCGACCCGGCGGAGAGCCTGCATCTTCCCTTGAGATTCGGGTCCGACCAACTTGGAGGCCAGGCTCACCGAGGACACGGAGGCCATCGGAGTGCCGAGGAAAACGAGGGTGCACGATGAGACGAAGAACGAGAGGGCGTGGTCGGGATGGGATTTCTGCAGGTGTGTGGTGACCATCAAGGCGACCAACCCGACGACGATCAACACGTTCCCCACCATGATCACAGTCCGGTCGAGGAGTCGGTGTCGAACCAGAATCACGAAGGCGAACGACAAGACCGCTTCGCAACCGATGAGAAGGTAGAAGAGGGAATTGGCTCGAATCCCGAGTCCATAATAAGTCTGTAGAGTTGGAGGGATGATCGTTTCTACCATGTACTGGCAGAAAAAGAAGGTGATCTGCATGAATAGGATGACGACGGTCGCATCCGACAGGAGATACAAGAACGACGAGGGCGTTCCGCTCTTCTCCTCAGGCCGAAGGAACGGGATCTCGCACGAATCATCTCGTCGACTCGGGATCGACGATGGTTCGGATCGTTGAAGGATCTCCGCTCGAGCGTCCCGTTCCTTCGCGTTTGTCGTGATGAGGGGGTAGCTGTGCTCTGCGAAATCTGTAGCGCTCCCTTGCGATGGCAAGAATGTGTCGTACTGGACGTGTCCCGACTTGGCGGCCCCGATCATCTTCTGCAACGAGATGTATTGCTCTCCAATGTTGTTGTATCCGACATAGATGATGATCAGAGCGAGGCCCCAAAAAACGGCGAAGATCAATCCCGGCAGGGAGGCTTCGTTAACGTGGATCACCCCAAATTGAAACTGGACACCGTGCAAGGCTAAATTGTACGCAGGGCCGAGGAGAAGCCCCAACTGCCGACAACCGAATCCCAGTGTCAAGCAGGTCGTACGTTCCCTATTGGACGTGGCTCGGGCCAGTTCAGCCAGGATGACGGCGAGGATCCCGCTTCCGAGTCCGCAGACGAACCTCCCCGAGACGATGAACCACTTGTGGATGCCGAGGAAGTACATCACGCTACCTGCTGCCTGTATGATGGCGCCGACGAACACGATCGGCTTGCAGAGGTGCATCCATCTGTCCACGATCCAGCCGAAGAAAATGGATGAAATGAGGCCACCCACGTTGAAGGCGGAAATGAGGATTCCCAAGTCCGTCTCGCTCCTGCAGACATATTGCATAATGCTTTGGCTACCGAGGCATGAGCGTCCGATTATAAAGTCTCGAAGGATTTACCTGGAGCCCAGAGACTGAAGGTATTCCCAAGCCGTCGGGAGGATGATGGCATTCTCGCATCCGACGGCGAATGAGATGACGAAGACGATGATGACAGTCCCCACCCGACGTCGATAGAATTTCTTCGCTGCTCTCTCCACGAGGAACGGCAGGGACTCGGTCATGGCGATGGTTTTCGGGCACCTGAGAAGTGAGAAAAATCGACACGTGAAGAGCCGATGAGTTGGGTGAAAGCATTGTTTTTCCAGCTGAAAAGTCTGCTGGGAGCCATGCAAAAACGGTCGACATGCGGTTGGACTGTTAACTGAAATTCGATCAGAGCTGATATGGGGCTTTGGGCCATTCACAACATTCGCATAAATATAGGGTAATCAACAAAAAAAGACCCTCCAGTTTCCATCGCATGTATTTCCTAAAATAATACACATAGAATTATAGCTTTTAAACACAGGCTTGTCAGCTTTTAATTATGAAAATACATTTTGAATGTGGGAGCCTCCAGCATCTGTTATCTTCCGCAGGCATTCATCGAGGTTTTCGACTAACGCTAAGTGTTTGCTGATAATTTCTCTCCACGACGGTTCTGATTTCCGGATTTAATTCTTCGACCGTATGTTAATTATTCCTGTAGACATTAACATTTAGAAGTCCCCATGAAAAGTAATCACCGGTATCAAGTTCAGGAGAGCATGTTGCTCTCGAACATCCACATGCGAAGCAACAAGGAGAACCCTTTTTGTCCTTCACATTACCAGTATTTACAAATTACTACCCTGTTTATTGCAGATATGCTTGGAGTGTCCCAACGTCGAAATTCGCTTCGAAAACCACACTGCACTTGAATAACGCTGCCAGTCTAACTAAACTTATTCTCCATAAACAGCTGCCGCTCTGTGCTATATTGTTTACCGTGCTATACCGTTTCTCGAAATTAGCACTGGGACTGCATAGCATTAATACGATACTAAGCTCCCAAACCTTACGTGTTGAATGATGCCGCATATAAGGTTGTTGACAATGGAGTTCAGAAGAATTATGAAAACTGGAGCGTCTTTTTCTTATGATCTTGAATATTCTGGGGTTTAGAATCTTTTGGGATCGGGCGGAACGCAGGAAACTCTTCGCGACTCAACTTTCTAATGCAGGGTTGTCAAAACTCGATAAGACTGGGGGCCGGATGGAAGCCTTCAGGGATGCTTAGGGGCCACAATAAATTTTTTAAATAGTAACACCTAATCTTTTAGGCAAACAGCCTGAAATTCAGCACTTTTCTGTAACCAGATATTGAAGAGGATTTTGTGCTATTGGGAAAAATAAAATTCGGCGGGGATTTTATTTCATATTAGCAAAAATATGCAATGGAGGGATAATGACTGAGGAATATGTATGGCTTTCCTATAAAAAAAAATTTAATAAATTGATGGAAGTGCAGTGAAAACTCGTTAACTGATGCTGATAAGTCGAAATTCTGCTCATCTTGAAGCTGAATGCTTAGCCCCGGCGGAATCCCGCAGGACACCATGTTAAAGATTCCGTTTAGTTCGAATTCGCTCAATTCGAAATTCCGGATATTTCGAACCACAATTTTTAGTCCCAAACACAATTTCCTCCAGGTTAACTGTACTTTAAGGCGGGAAGGGGGGAAAAAAATTATTCTTGAGACGTATAGATTTTTCGAATAGGGCGAAAAGCAAGAGACCTGTTCAAGAGGAAGGCCTTTTGTTTTTTATTTTTTATTTTTT